AGAGAATTTTTTATTTTTAGGTTTTATTTCCCTTTATTTATAAAACTGTTTATGGTCTTGTTATGTGTAATCTTTAAAAGCGAGTGATAATTTACGCGCGGCGTTTTGAGTCACTCCTGCATGCGATGTTTATGTTCGACCAGAAACTCATAATGAGTTTCTGGTTTGACTCGAAACAACCGGTGCAGCGATAAAAATTGCGAGAGGGACTACTAACAATCAATGAAATAAATATAATTCAGTGAAACATGCACAGAGACAATAATTTTCATTCACGAAGACAAGTATTGAGAGTAAAGTGTCTCTGAAAATCATGAGTCAGGTAAGCATAAGCTTATTTATGTTTTAAGCCGGCTTCCCGGTGTTTGCTCTTTTTCAACATGAACTCGAGGCAAGAAAATCGCTCAGAGCTTTCTGTTTACAGCCAAAATCATAACTAAATATTCTTCGGAACCTTTGAATTTGCGGTCAAAAAATGTCTGACGGATTTTTAAACCTGATACTATTGTAGGTTAGATCATTGCTCGTGTATAAACTTAAGCCGCACAAACAATACGCTCGACTTCAGGAAACCGAAAAAAAAACATCAAAGACAATAATTGCTCAGGCTTACCGGTCGAGATGCTGCTTCTGAAGGTCATCAAGTGTTCCAGAACCAGACTTTTCAACCCTCTTACGCCTCAAGCAAGGGCAAGTGAGTAAGCTCGTTTTTGAAAACGATGCCATCCAAAATCGGATTTCCAATGACTTGGACAAGCGGTGCATTTGTCAACAAAAAGCGCAATAAACAAACCAGCCATGAATTACAGAACAATCTTGATAGCAGCTGTATTTCATTTTGTACAGCAAGTGGAAAAAGACGGTTTAAAACATCACAAGATGACACTAAACTCTGTCAGCTTGAGCTATCAGTAAGCAAGTTTCTAGACGCTGCATAAATTTTCCGCATGAACTCACCTGTCAAATTTTGACCGATCAGAACATAAAAATTGGACGTAGAGCGTGATCAACGCGTGATGAGAAAAGTCAAAAACGATTGCCTTCCCTGCATGTAGAAGTCGATTGAATTTTCGCGTCCGAGGTCAGTTCGAAATCAAAATTTTAAAAGTGCGGCTCATGAACACGACTTATTTTATATGCATGTTTAAAAAATGGAACTTGAGCCTGCGATCATTTGAAAAGTAGCAGCTTGTCAGCGGATTACTTCAAAAAACAATCGAACTCAGTGGGTCGATACCCGAGCCCGCGATACGGTCCGGCGATACTGGTCAGCAGAAACACTATTTTGACAGTTGTCAATTAGTCAAAACATGGATGTGTACAATATCAGGTTGCAGGCTCCCAAACTAGCTGGAAAGTGTGAGATTAAGCATTGGTATGCCTGTGGTGCGGACGGACGGAAGGTCGGTTGGTCGATGTACGGTCACGTGATTGCCGAATTTTCTAAGCTATGGATAGAAAAATGAGCCCGCGATACAGTCAGGTGATAATGGTCAGCGTATACTCTAGTTTGACAGCTGTCAATTAACCTTCATTAGAATGGCGAATATTTGAATTAACAGATTACTAGTGTGAGTAAGACATATCCGTCCGGCTTGTAGTGGAAAATGCCAGATCGTATACCTGAGCGAACCTGAGCCCACGTCTTTAGTTTTCTGATAGTGGTCTGCACATATCCCATTTTGACAGCTGTCAATTGACATTAATTTGGCTTGCCAATATAACTTTAAACGACTGTCAGCCAACTGACAGCCCCGCCCGGGGTAGTTTCGTTTTTATGTTCAATTGGTAAGTGTGACATATTATATCAGCTTATATGTAGGGGCAAAACGACTGGTCTTTGATCTGAGCCCGCGAGATGGTCATGTGATAATTGTCAGCGGATGTCTGATTTTGACAGCTGTCAATCTAATCGTACTCATACGGATGGCTTACAAAACTGAAAGACTAGTCAAGTTGTGCAAGATCTATTGTGACATTTGACATCGGCTTACATGAAGTGTGTGTACGGGTGGGCGTACGCTACGTCATAACCAAATTTTCTCGGATGGATAGTTTACCAAATTTTGTTACCCATGGTGCTCCGCTGCGCGCGCTTCGCGCGCGGGAGCTCCGCTATAATCATTTCAAGTATAATTCATAACTAAAGGGTAATTTTTGTGCCAACAATTTCAAGGAAATACTTGAAACCGAAGTCACTATGTAATACAAAACTACTAAATACGGTATTGCTGTTGGAAATTTATTGATTATCACTCCAATGACATTCCAGTGAAGGTTTTGAAGGTTCAGTAAACCCCTCCCAGCCTTCTGACATTAAAAATAGCTTATACTGACAGACCCAGTATATGTGAAGCAAAGTGATTGGAACATTTACCCTGGTTTTTACTAAATTGGCCCTGTATTCTGTATTTACGCCCATAAATATTTGTTGTGCCTCCCGGTGTACACAAACAAACTTACGAACAGCGACCTAGAAAATCAGTGGTCTAATGAAGATGCACATATGACTGTTGCAAGACTCATACCAACATATATGCTCGTAGCATATGTATAAGATAAGGAAGAGAGTCTTAATACCACTGTAAGTGGAAAAATATAAGAAATGGAGCAAGATGGTCGCTCGAAAATTCACGAAGCGTAAAAACTGAACTTGCCGAGATCCCGAATCGCGATAAGTGAAGTCACCCATGAACTGTTTATACATCACGCCTCCTGATGTCCAAAAGGTTCATTAAAAAAGTTCATAGAAATCTTTTCTTGATATTTGTACGCGGGAAAACTTAAAACCGAGCAAAACCTCATCTTCCTTCCATCTCTGCATTCTCCGTCATATTTGTTTTCAAGGAAAATTTGTACTCAGTCTCACAGCTGCTTTTTAGCGTAACTTTTCGTTCCTGTAAATGGCAGGCGATAAAAGAAGAACCACGTCCACGTACTTATCGGAAACAACAACAAAAAGCTATCTCCTTGATCTAGCAGGGCATCTTACGTCACTTTCCTTCCATAAATAAACATCTTTTAACCAAGTTCGAAGAAAATATATTATTTTTCGCATCTCTGTAGTGTTTTAGGACCAAAAACCCCTTTCGTTGCAGCTTACTTAAGATGGTGTGGCATCTTTTGCCACCTGCTTCCTTTAAAAGCCCAATTTCTTGCATATTATCACATAAACAAAAGGGCCAACAACTGTCTTTTTGTCTCGCCATTTTTAAACAGGCAAACCTACAAAAATGAAATACTGTTTTTTATAACCACCTCCTTAGGTGCTAAGAGTGTACCACGTTTTACCCCGTTTAATAATCGTGCACCACGGCTATAGGGGTATGAAGGACTCAGACAACCAGTTGCAAAAATGATGAGACACTCCCACGGAAAAACGACCTTTCTTGCTTCAAATCGCTCCTGGTCAAAGGTCTGTAAAATATAATACTGACCTCCCTCCTCCCTCCCATTCAAAGTTGTTCCTCCACGTTTTGAGTATGGTCTTGTATTGCTAGAAACTTTGATAAGGGGTGGAGGGGGATCACAAGCAAAAGATCATGGACAGGCCATTTCTGCCAAAATACGGTACAGTGTCTCAAGTACTTTTGCAACTGGTTGTCTCATTTAAGGTTTACTTCAACAAGCGATTTCCACGTCTTAAATTCCCAAAACGAAGACTATAGCGACATAAATAAATAGAATGACACTTTGTGTTGCTTTTCCCAGCCGAGACGTCATTGCCATTGATAGCAAACTGCCTAAAAAAGCGCTTAAGAATGTAGTGACTTGTGAATTTTGCCTCAGTTTTGTTGTAACGCATGCGCCATTATCTACCGTGACATAGCTTAAAGTTTGGGCGTTGTAATTAAACTCTGAGAAGCGCGAATGCAAAATAACAGCATAATTTTCCTCTTCTTGGTATTTAGAGATACTATAGTTGCCAATAAAGCTGCCAAACCTTCATTTTCACCCCTGTATCTGTAACGCAATGACATTTGATATGCAATGGCGTTATGTAATCGGTATACCGCGTGACTTATTTTTCAACATCGCTGTTAAAGTAAAACCGTTCAGTTTTTTTCATCTACTACGGTGAAAATAAGATGGTTATTAAAGTCCGTTAGAGCTAGAGAGCAGAAAAAGTTTTATTATTATTATTTATGATTATTTTAGTATATGCTAAAACAGTGGATAGTGTTTTTCGCGCGCTCTGATTGGCTGCTCAATCTCGGAATATCCTGCACTATTCACTGATTCGCCTCCAGCCGAGCGGCGCCAAACTCTTGCAAGTTACACGTACGACAAAAATGGCTCAGTCTCGGTTTGCCACGGTAACTAGCGACGAAATTTCGAAAATAAATGAAGAGGCCATACCAGACAACACTAAAAAAGCGACTAAATTCGGTCTAGCAGTTTTCACAGGTAAAGCTTTGTCTGTTTAACCTGAATTTTATCGATGAAACCGGTGAAAAAGTTTTTTGTTTACAAATGCAAATTATGTCTTTCGTTACTTAATGTTAGCTGACATGTTTATAAATAAGCTTACTTTTTTTACAGAATGGTTTCAGATGCAAGAAGAGTTCAAAACTCCCTTTGAGGAGATGTCACCAATTCAGCTTAACAAATGCCTCCAAAAATTTTACTTGTCCGCACGAAAACGTGACGGCAGTTACTACAACAAAAAGTCGCTTATCGCAATCCGAGCCGCGTTAGATCGTCACTTAAAAAGTCCTCCGTTTTCAAAGCCATTTTCCATTGTTGGCGACAGTCATTTTTAAGAAGCCAATAAATCCCTCAGCAATTTTCTGAAAACTCTGAGCAAAAGTGGCCAAATAGCTCCGACAGTGCACAAACAAGCCCTAACAAAGGAAATTGTTGAGAAACTTTACGAAGAAGGCGAGCTTGTTGACATCGATTCTCTCCAACCACACAAAGTACAGCAGACGGCCTGGTTCTTCATCAGTTTATTCCTCGGAAAGAGAGGTCGAGAAAACCAGCACCTGCTTAAGAAACACATGCTTATCTCAAGGGAAGCGCCAAATGGTGAAAAATATCTGGAAATAAACAAAGAGCGCGGAGCAGTGTTGGCGACTAAAAACTATCAAGGTGGCCTAGATGATAAAGAAGATGAGTCAAACGGAAAAATATTTGAAAGACGAGGCTCAAAACGCTGCCCAGTGAAACTCATCGAGAAATACCTGTCACATCTGAGTCCCAAATGCAGCAGTTTATTCCAGAAACCAAGAAGCTCGTGCAAAGCGTTTAACCCAGCAACGGATCTTGTGTGGTACTGCTCGAGTCCACTTGGCCACAACACGCTTGAAAATATGCTACGAAGAATGACATCAAGAGCTGGAATAAAGCCACATCTAACAAACCACTCGATCAGAGCGACCACCGTGACGGTTTTGCCAGCTGCAAACATCGAGAGTCGGTACATCAGGGCAATAACCTATGGCGTTCATTACTATTCAAAACACTTTGAGCACATTTTTGACTTTCTGACACCTTTTTCACGTCCAGGGGGTCAAATTCCCCAGTCACGTATCACGTATGGCGTTCATTATGGCGTTCATTACTATTCAAAACACTTTGAGCACATTTTTGACTTTCTGACACCTTTTTCACGTCCAGGGGGTCAAATTCCCCAGTCACGTATCACGTATGGCGTTCATTATGGCGTTCATTACTATTCAAAACACTTTGAGCACATTTTTGACTTTCTGACACCTTTTTCACGTCCAGGGGGTCAAATTCCCCAGTCACGTATCACGTCGTAAAATTTACGACGTAAACCTTGTACTCGCATCGTTACGTCGTAAAATATAACAACGTCTATTTTACGGCGAGAAATTTATGGCGTTCATTACTATTCAAAACACTTTGAGCACATTTTTGACTTTCTGACACCTTTTTCACGTCCAGGGGGTCAAATTCCCCAGTCACGTATCACGTCGTAAAATTTACGACGTAAACCTTGTACTCGCATCGTTACGTCGTAAAATATACCAACGTCTATTTTACGGCGAGAAATCTATTATCCTTCAGTGTACTTTGAAGGTCGTCCCGTCCTTATTAAAAGTCTTCAAATATATCACGACGTGATTATATTTAGCATGACACGTTACGACGTAAAAATTACGACGTAAACGAGGAGGTTCGCGTTACGACGTAAAATAAATTTTAGCTACACGTTACGTCGTGGATATTTACGGCGTAAAAGCAAGGTACGTTGTAATAAATCCATTCGTCAAGTTGTCAATCAAATAGGTTTTACGTCGTAACTTTTACGACGTAAAATTTATCTGCTTCTTAACTTGTCAATCAAATATAATTTTACGACGTAAAGTTAATATAGTTAAAGTTGTCAATCAAATAGGTTTTACGTCGTAACTTTTACGACGTAAAATTTATCTGCTTCTTAAGTTGTCAATCAAATATAATTTTACGACGTAAAGTTAATATAGTTAAGTTGTCAATCAAAAAAGGTTCGCAATGTCTAATAAGTTAACTTCAAAGTCTTAATAGATTACCATCTACAATGTTTAATAAGTTAACTTCAAAGTCTTAATAGATGACCATCTACAATGTTTAATAAGTTAACTTCAAAGTCTTAATAGATTACCATCTACAATGTTTAATAAGTTAACTTCAAAGTCTTAATGGATGACCATCTACAATGTTTAATACTGAGTTAACTTCAAAGTCTTAATAGATTACCATTTACAATGTTTAATAAGTTAACTTCAAAGTCTTAATAGATTAACGTTACTTCAAAGTCTTAATAGGTTACCATTTACAATGTTAATTAAGAACGTAAGTGTCTTATCCAATATATGTTATTGATAATACTCCCCCGCTTTCTTTTATTTTGTCAATGAACACTCCTTGTATTTTATAGCCGATGTCCAGTTTATCCTAGCATCGGTTTAGTAAAATAAAACGCTTCATTTAGTGTATGTGAATGAGTGTTCTATAAACGTTCTTTGATATTTATAAATATCTACAATCCAGGGAGAAAAAAGATTTACTTATTATTTAACATTCATATATAAGCTTAAGGGTCCTGAGAGCAGGAGAGGCCCCGTGAGCGAAAGTACTGCTAGGCCCATCCCATTCCCAGGAGACTGGTATTAAAATACAATATGCTTTTGTTTCCGTACTTAAAGAGAACAACTACACCACATGTACAGGATTTTAACAGATAGCCACGGACTCAGGGGAACCAGGGCCGTAGCCTAGAGGAAAAACTATCTGTTCACAGTTCTTTGTACAGATAGAGGATATTACATGGCCGCGCGGGGATACGAATTTTATCGTCGAGTGCTGAAGGTATCTCTCACGAGAAGATAAACTTCGTATCCCCAAGCGGCCGTGTAATGTTCTGTTTATTTTATAGATACTGATGATATTCCTACATAAAACACAACTTTTTCTTGCTTCATTTTCGAAACAGCAAAATAGTGCAATTAAAGTGGTCAACTATTGCAAAATGCCTGTCACAGAAATGTTATGAAACTCGGATATAAAGTTATAAAGGAGAAATAAAGACAATAATACTTATATTTCCTGCTCCAAAAGGTCAAAATTCTAATGAAGAATGGCTATTCTAATGAAGAATGGCTAATCATGTTAGTAACCATGGCGACACCAATATCCTCCCACGTGAAAGATGAAGATATGATTTTTTAGTAAAAGGAAAAATCCTGGTATTTCATCAGTATCTATATTATAAATGAGAATACAACAATGTTTTGGAAAATTATAAAAGTGTTTGGATTTTGAGCCGTTTGGTCTGGAGTAGGTTATGGGTATCAAGGGGACCCCTAGACTACGAACAGTTTCTGTCTTTTTCTTTAATTTTCAGTGTCAGATACTGAACAAGTTATTGAATGCGTTCGCGAATCGAGCACAACTTCCAGAAGCCAGGTCTGAGAATGACGGGTGTTGAAAATTTCATATATTGGTCTGAAATAGGATCAGGATTTGGATAACCGGGCGGTACACTTCCACCGATATTTCTGTAGAATTCCAGGGTGTTCCTGAACCCAACCTACTTAGACGAGAATGGAGCCCTTGCTACTCAAGTAAATAACTGGTAGCTTATTTGAATAGTAAGGGTTCCATTCTCGTCTAAATAACGGCTCCTGACCTCGTCAAGGGGGAGGAAATCCTCCCAGCCTAGCGGTGCGGATTGAAGGAGCCACCTCGGTGAAGACGATCGGCGGGCGAAGGCGTCACTTCCTTGGCGGAGGGTTATGCTGGTGGGTGAGAAAAAAAAATTAGTTATTTTTATCCTTATTTTTCAAATAATCGATGTTAAATTGTACAAAATGTCACAGTAGATTGAATATTTACCTTAAGTTGAGGAACGCGGGATCCGTTTCTGCGTTTTCAAAGAAAAACCCCGTGTTCCCGGCAGTGGACATCTTGGGCACTATAATCGCCCTGAATTGGCCTGCGAACAAAGGGCTCTTTATGCCCACCGCCCGGCCCACGGAGTTTGACTGCTCCTCGAAACCCGTGATATTCCATTGGAACGTAGCCACTCTTCCCGGCGTCATGGGTGGTGTCACCTGAAGTGTAATGTATAAAATGTTCATTTTAGCCCGCGAGCAAGCTCTCCTGCCTTTCCGATCCTCTGCCCCTCGCGGCTTCGCCGCTCGCTCGCACGTTCTCGCGAAAATCGCTTCGCTTGCCCACATAGGAGAGCGTGCTCGCAGGCTATGTTCATTTACACCCTCAGTTGTAAAAACTATGTGTGAAACTATTACGGTTAAATAATTTGTGCCAATCAAATATTTCTTTTGCTATTACTTACTTCGTTTAACTGGTTCGCCCTCCTTTCTGCGAGCAGCAGCTGCAAGTGGCTCGCTGCGTTATCTGCCTCATGTCTCGCTAGATCCTCTCTTCGCAAGACATCGTTACACACCGGGAATGGACAAGTAACGAATGCGCGGGTACATGCGGAGGCAATGTGCCCGTTTAATTGGTCCCTGGAAGAGAGAATTTCCTTTTCTTTACGCCTTTTGTCTTCGTGTCGTTGTTTCAGGTTAGAGATATAAAGTTTAAAGTAAGTTAATTAATATTAACAATATTGGTCAGGGCTTTTTGCGCCTAATAGTAGGAGAGATTGCACGAGACTAGTACTTACCGGGGTATGGAAACCAGATTGCAATTGAACGGGCACATTACAGGGGCCTTCCGACATGCCAGCTCCTGGTGGTCGTGGTATTGCCGGAAGGGCAGCGTAACTCCGCAGTACCCGCAAACTTGGGGACGCATGTCGCATTCGCCGGTGTGCCTTTGCATCTCACCGCGAGGGAACGTCTGTGAACAGCCACGGTGGGTGCATTGGACGGGCTCGTGGAGGCATTGCTGCTGATGACCGGAGATCGTCTCTAGTGCGCCCGTCCAATTAAACCCGTCCGTTCGTCTTGAACAATACACTTCAAGGGAATCGACTACCCTGTCGAAAGTAATTATGCCTCTGACATCAGAGGCTTGGAGGGGCTGCCTTCCGACAGGGCAGTTTGGGTGTCCATGCGCATTTATCCAATGTCGCAGGCAGGTACGGCAGAAGAGGTGGCCCTCGTTGCATGCCACAGCTTGACGTATAACGTATTGACTGTAAGGGAAAAGAGAAGGACAAAATTTGTACAGTACTCCGGATGTCAAGTGATAGGGAAGATGAAGGCATTCTTTGAGTTTGAAATTTTCGAATCCAGGATTTGTGACAAAGAACATCAGCCTCCTCTAGTAAACTATATCACTAGTATCTAACAGGGCATTTTTTCCACTCGCCCGGAGGTAAATGTTAGTCGCCTCAGGCGACCGGGCGCCGTTACAGTACAGCCTTGGATTTTCAAAAGTGTCAGTTTTGTTGAATATATCGATTGCCTACCGAAGATCAAATATCATGGACTGCCTTCGCCAGGAAGATACTTTGCACAATTTGAACTCATCAATATGGTATTCCGAACGTTTGTGGATTCCTTTTCTTATATTACATCTGAGCCGCAGATAAATAAGAAAAATGCGATCAGAATAAAATCGCGGCTTTCATTTTGGCATTCGAGCTAGGAACAGATTATTAACTCACCAAATAGGGCACAAGTAAGCTGGGTCAGGCTGCTGGACGAAGGAGTCGGGATGGTGACCGACTTGAATCATCCTTGACATCCTTATTGTCTAGTTTTATCTTGCCAAACAAGAGCTAAAAGGCAGGAGCAGAATATCGACTGGATCGCACGCGGTTCGTCTACTCCTGATCAGAGGTGAACTCGTAGAGCATGCATGTAGTTGACCTCCCGTTGCGCTCTAGTTGGTGATGGATTGTCGCCAGATCTGCTAAAACAACATTCTAACCTAGCCTGGGTGATTACTTGGCCCTCCCCTTCATTTATATGACAAAGGCGGGATATAAGTAATGGTGTTCGATATTAGAGACGGTCCATTAGAAATAACCAGAGGTGGGGTGATAATTCCCCCAAAAATTCCCTGCGAGCGGTGATACGTAAATAAAAATTCGTGCAGAGGAAGCGACATACACAGAATTTGAGGTTATTAAAAGTAAGTGGTAAGGGGGAAAAAGATAAAATAAAACAATGAAAAGAAAGAGAGAATTGAAATTCTTAAGTTGTGCTTCAGTACTTTTATTTGAAAATAACTGTTTGAAATTTCTTCATACAACAAAACAAAGCTTGCTTTCCACACAGTCTTCATTGTTAGTTTAACCACTGATATTGCTATCACAGATAATTATACTATAAAATCTCTCTCTTCAGATATAAAATGTATTTCAAAATATTTTTTATATAACATTAAGCAATATAAGAAATAAAACATTTTCTTAGCTATATAACTATTTCTGTCAATTTCGATTCTGGTTAGTCTGTTATTGTTCTCTTTGTGATGACGATTACATGATTTTCCTTTTGCTGTTTAACACAATGATTTTTTTCAAGCCTGTAAATAAGTTTTGAGCCTCTGGAACCTTCCAACGTTTCAAATTCTCCTTTTTTCCTCAATTCAGCCGCAGTTTTCTCATGTTAGTTTGAGGTAGTTTGTCTTCTTGGTGAGAAGTGGCCCGCATTAGCCTCGCTTTCGCGGAAAAACAAGCCCTCGTCATACGCCGCCCGGGAATGAGGGGAATACGAAACTCGCCTATTGAAGTGCTACGTGCTTTTCATTAACTATTGATATTCTGGCTAAATTGTGAACTGGGAACTTTCTACCAATAAATAACAGTACATTATTTTATTGTTTCCGAAATAAAAACGACAGACAAAATAACTAAATTTGTACATCATATTCCAGAATGGCAGGCATTCTTTTGTCTTATAATAATGCCATGTTTCAAGGTACCGGGGAAATACTGTTTTTGACTTCTGCAGAATGGGGGGATGCAATTGAGGTACCAAGTGCGAATTAACGTTAATCACCTGTGATTGATTATTAATCAGACACACAGCAAAAAGGATCCAAGTGGTAAACTATAATACGTGATTCTCTTACATAGTAGATGAGTTACAAAAGAAGAAATGTGAGGAAAAAATAATTCGTGCAAAGCTTTTGCCTCAGGAAAAAAAGACTCCTGCAGACAAGTGGGCTTAAAGAAAAATTTTCGTGCACCGAAAATGCCCCCACCCCGGTTATTTCTGATGGTCCGTCCCTTAGCTAAAACGTTACAAATGTAAGCAGGGGAAATGGCGTTGCTGGAGGTGATTCTTTCCCCTTGCAAGAGCCGATAATAAAATCCTGGCTAGGCCCTTGGTTTGTTTCAAAACAACAACAAAACGACAGCAAACTTTAGTAACAAATAGCCTTAAATCATCAGCAGTGAGAGTAAAGGGATGACAAGCCAAAGAAAAAAAAAGCTGATCAAAAAATTAAAACGATAAAAGAAAAATAGCAAAGTTGAAGGCCGTAGATCCTGCCAAGGATAAGCAGTGAGAGTATTTGAGGCAAGCCAAAGGAAACTGTCCGGATACGTGTGGACAGGGCGCAGGAACCCCTGTTATCAAACATATTTGTTTTTTTCTCTTTTACGTACGACTACAAGAAAGGTTTTTTAGTTCATCACTTCCTAAGAGCCATATAATCATCTTTTCGACGACACACGATCCTTTTTTGCGATAAGGGTACAAAGTAAACGAACGGATTTATACCAGGAGAACTGCTTTGTTTGCGTTTCGAAGCTTTATCCCATCCCAGTTTTGAATTGGACATCTCTTTGAAATGTCTTTCAATCATTCCACTGCTAAGATTGCACGGGTATTCCCTGCTAGCAGAGGTCTCTCACGACGAGACCTCTGCTAGCAGGGAAGCACGGGTATTGAACGGGTATGGTGTTCAGTTTTTTTTTTAAGACTAGGTGATGGAGATGCTTCACGGGCACCCAACGAGGATATGGTTCAAAACCACTTAACAAAGCATTGTTGAGCGTATTTTAGCATTCAAACGGTAGATATAGGCATATTTTTATCCCCTAAAAACTTTTCATCTGTTCGGATTTCCTAGCTTAAAGTCTAGTGATCCGAAAATTATAGGGATAAAACTTATCTTCTAGAAACTTTCAAAAAGGCTCCCGAAAATTCTGGGTGGCCTTTTTAGGTCAAAATCCGTTAAAATGGGTAATTATACCATCTTGTAGATGTTCGAAAATCCTAGGGGAGGCAGGCAAGCGAGAAATTTTTACAACAAATGCTCCGAAACTTCTAGATCTCAAATCGTCTTCCGAACAGATATTTTGCCGAAAATTGCCGTTGGGTGCCCCTGATGCTTGAGGCTGCAAAAGGAATCATGGAAAAAAAAAGAGGAATCGAAACTTTAGAGGTCGAATAACGGAAAAAACGACATCATGCCTTTTTTGGACAAGAATATCGCATTGCAAAATTTACAAGACAGTTCCAAGAAAAAACGACCGATTAAGGAACCATCGAGTATTCCCTTTCATCCCTTAAAGACAAGGGAGGCGATTTTGTACGTAGGAACCGACATTGGCTGGTTTACTAGCGATGGATACAGACTGAGTAGGAACTATAATCAAGAGCGTAGAGCCTTGAGATTGGGTATAATTACTCCAAGTACGACTCCTTCAGTTTCGATCTAGTGAAAACTATAAGTTTTAGGAGTTCCACTCAGAAGCTAAAGAACTAAACCCATCACAAAGCAAGGGAACAAGCATTGTGACTGGTTTATCCTTCCACTCCTCCTAATCTGGTTTTCTACATCATAAGCAGAACTGTGAAGAATATAAAATTCTGATGACTCCAATTGATGACTATGATTTTTTATTTTCACTAGGTGATATTAAAGTGCTTTTACGACTCTGATTGTGACCCCGACTTTGTCACGAGTGAAAACCAGCCGAAAACAAGGATTTAGTCGGATTGCACTCAGGTGCCTCTCTTGCCCAATTTCCTTCCTTTATGAGGTTGGAAGGTTTATGTTCGTCTACATATGTTGGTATACACTTTATTATGATACACAGTTTACAGATATACTTCATTAATTTTAGGCTAACTTGTGTAGAACTGAATAAATGTTTGAAAGTTTTGATTTCACTATTTGCCGATAATTAAGGGAAGAAAAAGAGACCCATGAAATACTGAAATGGCCCGACTTGGAGCTGAATCGGCTACTTTTTGAGGGGTAGTTTGCAAGAGGGCCGAAATTTGAGGGGGCTGTTTTGGCCACTTGAAAATCAAAAGTAGCACTAATGTTTTCGCCTGGTCTAATTTGGATCCGATGTATCAATATAGTCCCAAAAACTGTTACCAAAACAGCCTCATTTCAGTGAGGCTGAATCAGGGCCCCTGAAACAGTACCATCCTGGATTCACCCGTTTTACCCGTAAATTACCTATTTTCATTTCACTGTGTTGTACTCGTGAATCTTTTAGAGCAAACGAGTCACCCTACTATAAACGGGAAAACCTTTTTTTATTAAAATCAAATTGATTTTTATTGTCTTCACAACATGGAATGTGAAAAAAGGCCAGTATAAGGGTCAAATACCTAAAGGGGCTTGTAACATCTGGCGGCAGAGAACTAAATGTGTTGTCCTTGTCTTTCAATAAATCGATACATGGAAATTAGTCTGAATCAAGAGCTTCAGTTACTGATGCTTTGAATCTCTCATACATCTCGGCTTCCCTTCTCCTCACCAATTTTTTTTTTTCATCCTTCCTCTCTATGGATTGAATTTTAGACGCGTAAGGAGGCTCCCCGCAAGCCCCAGCAAAACAAATTCCAGTAGGTCGACACTGTCCTGCAAAAAAATAAAACATAAAAGCTAATGAATCTTCTTATGTTGCAATATATAATAAAATTAAAAATTTGTGATGGTACCGGTACGTCGCGAGGGTCGGGTAGAAACTAGAGAAACAACGCAAAGAGTTTTACTTTAATTCTGTGCACCTTGCAGAGGCAGATCGACGCGGTCTCACTATGATTCTTTTTTTATGGCAACAAATCCAACCGCATTGTGGTGTCGCGCTCCCGTCGAGGGCAATCAAATATATCCTATTCTTGCGCTACAAACTCCAACCTTATCTAGATTACTGTATCCAGTTTGGGAAGGTACGTTTTTAATTGGGAGAGAGGACTGGGCTTCAGAGAGGAGGGTCAGCCAAAAAAAAAAAATGGACCTTTGGTGATGGTCGAACCATAATTTAAAAACGGTATTAAGGGAGAGTGAAGCCTTTTTTTCATAGTGGTTTGTGTACATGTGTTCATGCAGTTACCATATTGAAATCATTTTTTCGAATTTTAAAGCTTCGCACCAGTCCTTCTCATCGAACAAGAACTTGTAATCTCTCAAGATTCCTTTCAAACAGCAGTTTTGTTACAGTTCATTCATCATATTCATTCACCCTTTCTGTCTTTCTTTTATCACCTTGTTCTGGCACGGCACGTAAATGTCTCAGACGACCCGTGTTCTCTTTCGGCCATAACTTGACCTTCAGTGATGTGACCACTGTATGCAATCACAGGGCTGTGACTTATATCGCTCAATTCTTTTGATCGTGTTGACGATCACCGGTTGTTTCAGAGCCTACAATCCTTTCCTCTTCATAACTTTTTGAACACGAAGATGAAGTTTTTTCACGAAGGGGAGTCTCTTTCTCCTAGCCTGATAAGAACCTGTTGTCGTTAAGTGCTTACATAAAGCCACTTTCCCTGGCTTCTTCCAATCAAGTACAAATGAAGTTGAACATTCTATTCATTTGAGCTCGGGGTTAAAATTTCGATAGATGTTGCTCACGCTGATAGTGATAGATAATAGGAATGAGGAAGCTTGTCACTGTCAGAGAAGGGTCGTAGTTGCCGATTGTGGTGAACCAGTACACATGCAGTGGAAGCTCAGGAATGGGGTAGGGTCACGTGTTTACCAGAAAAAGGATGAAAAATACCCCCAACCCCCCCCAATTAAAAAAAAAACTGAACAAACTTCCCTTACTTATTATGTACTTTTTTACTGTAAGATGTATAATATTGCGGATTCAGTTACCCGAAGTAAATCATTGCACTGTTCCATATGCCGAAATGCTCAATGTCCAATTACCAATGCTTAACTTACCAAAGCAAACTTTTTTGATTTAGCTGTATACGTATTGACATAGTTGGTACGCGAACGTGCAAAATCCTGTTTTCTGATCGTAAGGCTACCATGGGGCACACACCAACGGAAGGTTTCCTCCCAAATGCGCACTTTCTAGGCTACCAAGAGGAGCGCTGGTAGAAATGCGCTCTAAGCGGCGCTATAACATTTGTACCTGTTCGGTCATCCTAAGGCAACTTGAGTCATTTTGAAAGTATAACTAAGGGCTTCAGTATCATTTTCCTGAAATGTTAAGATGCAATTTAAAGTGTTACGATAGTAAGACATTTTCTAATGCTCGCTCCATCGCAATTTCAGAGTCTGAAAATGTTAGGTTTTCTTTTTCTACGAAAATTTGTTTAACCCGTGGACGGAATTAAGAACAATTACACTTTAGAAAATAGTAGGGAATTTATTAGATAAGCTTCGAATAATGTACATGAATAGATTGGTCATCAAGCTATATAGGAAGGTCTGAACACTATTTGCGGCTATCCGAACATGTATTTTACAGGAAATGTTCGTTGGGTGCCCCCCGTACAACGGGGTTAACGAAATCAGTAGTTGGTTTTCCCTGAATTCTTCTTCCAAATCAGGAATGGGCGAAAATAAGACTGAGGCCAACGCGCGATTAATTGTTCTCTTGCTTTTCAAAGACAAAAAAATCCCGGGAGAACCAATGTCATCAATGCCACGTCGGTCTCAAGTCGTCATTAAAGGATCCGACAGATCATAATAAAGGAAATAAAACTCTTGCTGGTCATTGATCAGCTCGATGATAAACTAATAGCGTTTAAATTCATGTTCATTTGAGTCAGCACTGTATTTTCTTGGCGTTTAGGGAATTTGGTAGTATCTTACAGTCCAATTACTTTCTTATTTCGTACCTTCCAAATCAGTTACACTGAACTAGGGAAACATAAGTGAATCTGAAATTGCGGTAACCTAGGTCTCCCAAGGATTGAAACTACCAGTAGAAAAACCCAACTTTAAATCCCCTGCGTTTCTCAGTACCAAAAGTTCGATTTGTTGGGAGCACAAAGAAAACAGACGGAAGTAAGGGAAAAAAAAACACAGTTTTCACTGTACCGTGAACATTCTAATCTTTTTCAATTGTAACTAAACAGATAAATGAAAATTGAAAGAACTAGTAACAAAACGTGACGAAGACGTAGTCTAAATAGAGCGTGTATTTTACTGTTTTGAGTAGTAAAGCTGTTTCATGTTAGATTTGTGAAAAACAACATCGGCCTCCGCTACTGAGTACATGAAACTATACATGTACCTACAACACGTCGAAGTTCAATGTTTCGGACGCCAGTACACTGTTTTTTCCGTAGTTTTCGAGTTATCGAGGGCAGAACTATACAGAAATGATCTGAGGGAAAATAAAAATTAATTCCGGAGGGTGAAATTAAATTCTTTATCTTACTTTTCTGTCATTTTTTTTTAAAGTTATTTTTATTTTTCTGTAAGGTTAAAGATGTCTAAGCAAACCAAAGCTTTAAGGCTTTTGGTACCCCTTAATCTCGTACTGTTATACTTACCGGGGTATTCTTATTATTATTATCATTACTTTGTAAGCGAGACACGCGAGAAGAAATGTGCGCGCTCCCCTCGCGCGTGTCTCACACCCCACGGGCGCTATAACCAAAAAATTAATTTGCGAATATTCAGTGGGAGGTATAAAAGGATGCAGTACCGATAACTGGACAATAAAGGGGAACACAACTAGAACTAGCAAAACTAAGAAATGTGGAAACTGAAAATACAAAAACGTAAAAATAATAGAGCTGTGGGGTAGGGTAGGAGCTTACGCCTCGTCTCCAGATCTTATTACAAAAGATGACACTCTAGACCATGCGGACGATTACAAGGGACATTCCATATCTCCTTTCTTTGTGGGAGGTAAAGACTTGTGACACATTCACCTCTTTCATTCATTTTCTTCGATCGATACTATACATTATGAGTGACATAGTGCGTAGTTTTATAGTTGGTTTACTAGCTTTGGTTGAAGAAATTAACCGTCTTCTACCGGTTCGTGTGGATTTCGAACAGCTGGTAACAAATATAGCACGTCTCGAAGAAGCAATTGACCGGTTGTGCTGGCTTTTGTCGGCGATCAGCGAAGGTAACATCGGAGGGGTTGCTGCCAACTTTAAAGGCCAACTTGAAGACATGAAGAGGAATTTGGAAGCTTTACAACTGCAGCTTTTCGAGAAGAAAAGGTTGCTCGAATCTGAGACGTATCAATGCCAGAGGGAACAGGGCAATGTCGGGAGACCGAGATTCATAATCTCTCGGGAGCAAATTTTGTATTTGCGCGAGTTTTCTTTTAAGTGGACAGAGATCGCGGATATACTTGGAGTATCTATAAGCACCCTGAACAGGCATCGAGCATCGCTTGGACTCGGTAGTGAGTCAAGATTCACGGCCATTGCAGACGACGACCTCGATGCGCTGGTACGGGAAATAGTGGGGCGATCACCATTTAGTGGCATTCGTATCGTTCAAGGGGAGATGGAGGATAGGGGAGTCCATGTCCAGAGAGAGCGTGTAAGAGCGGCACTTCATCGCGTGGATGGCCTAAACGTGCGTGCAAGGCTAAGCCACGTAATACAGAGGAGGCGTTATAAGGTTCCTGGGCCAAATTCACTCTGGCACGTGGACGGGAACCATAAACTAATACGGTGGAAGTTTGTTGTGCACGGAGGAATAGACGGATTTTCCCGCCTTTGCGTTTATCTAGGTTGCGCAACAAACAACCGGGCAGCTACAGTCCGAGACCTATTTTACGCTGCGACTGAAGAATTTGGGTGGCCATCGCGAGTTCGTTCAGACCACGGCATGGAGAATGTGGAAGTGGCGGGTGCCATGATAACTCGACGAGGGACGGGAAGAGGGAGCCATATTACTGGGAGCTCAGTCCACAACCAGAGGATTGAACGATTGTGGCGCGACTATTTTCGCTGTGTCGGATCGCTTTATTACACGTTATTTTATTTTATGGAGGACACTGGCTTACTCACTCCCGACAATGACGTCGACTTGTTTTGTTTACATTTTGTTTATACCCCGTTAATTAACAAGGCCCTGGAAACATTTAAACGTTCGTGGAACAACCACAAGCTTTCTTCTGAAGCAAATGCCACTCCACAACAGCTGTACATCAGGGGAATGCTTCAGCGTTTTGGAACGGACGATCCAGCTGTACGAGATGTCATCGATGGTGAATCCATCGACGAAAATCAGTTCGGAGTGGACCCGAATGGCCCGACCCCCGAAAACCGGTCCAACAATGACGTGCAAGTCCGGGAAGTTACCTGTCCCTTGACAGACATGCAGCGTACACAGTTGGAAGCGCGAATTCGCTCACTGGAACCTTGCCCAAATCATGGCATTTCGCTGTACCTGGCAGCAAAAGATTTCGTTAACGCAGTAGTCTGAACACACTACTACGTTTGCGAAATGTCTTGTATTACGTATGAAGGTTCCAATTATTCGCGCTGTGGCTATATGGCCGGTAACCGGTCAGCTTTTCAAAGCACCAGCAGTCCTATATTCTCAGTAAATCGGAAAAATCCTATATTCTCAGTAAATCGGAAAAATCCAGCTAATCTAAACTATCATATGCCGATTAAGAAAAGTCAAGCGATCCTGAAATGCTTTATAGATCTCAAGTTTAGTGTTTGATTTACGCTAAGCCATTAATTTAGTGTTTTGAAAACCTTGACCGGTTACCGGCCATGTAGCCGTTTATGCCGGAACAGTATATGTAATCGAACCCTCGAAGTCCTCAAAAACCCACTAAAAAATTAACCGACTGAAAATCTTTTTTTAATATTTATCTATCCCGGGGCTGAATATTTTTCTTTCACTGCCGGTGCCGCTGTGAAGGTCAATGAAATACTTGTGAGTTTTCGCTAATTACCTCCATGTGAGATCGAGAGAGAATGGCCTTGCAACAACCCTCTTAATTAACAGGAAATGATAAAATTACTCTCGTGGTAAGATTTTTTAAATTTCTATCGTATCCGGTCGTGGAACAAAATGAAGCAAATATTTTTTTGACAAGTCCGATCAGAGAGTATCTGATGCGACATAACGTTTACGTCTCGAGTGGGTTCGACCTTTACTGTGAAATCATTTCTGAACAACCCCACTTACTTCGCATAGATCTCTCTCACACAAGTTAATGGGTTCGGTTGAGTTGGGTTACCGAATGTTCGATTAGATATACCGGGTATTAACGAGTGCATATGTTTTTACTTTGGAAGTTTGATTTTCGGCCACGCGTGTAAGCGTATAAGCAAAGGCACGAGGACCAAGGTTATTGTTTTCACATTCTTTTCTCCTTTTAAGAATTTTATTTTTCCGGCCCAGGCTGAATATTCTGGTTTTTCTGTCAATTTTAAGCTGACAATAGTCTTGCGTTATTCTTACTTTATATCTTATGACATTTCCGTTTTAGATATAAAGACTGCAATTGGGTGTCAACTATTTTCGGGCAGGTTTTTACGTTTTGTTGGCTAGAAAAAAATTTCCACACAGTAAATTATTTCCTTTTCGAAACCTCAGCCTTGGGTTTATTTGTAAAATATTCTTAAAACTTCACACATTTCAGCCGCGATATTCTTGCAAAGTATATTCTTAAAAGAGTGTAGTTAACTCTATGCGTGCTAGCGCCTTTGTTTACGCCGCTTTAATGCGTGAGCGCTTGCTGTCAATTGATACTTTGCGCTTTATGAAAGATCCTTCAAAGATAAACATACTGTCTTTCGAACACATTTGTCACAAGTCAAGTTTGCATCTCACAAGTTTTTCTTTTGTTGTTGTTTTTTCATTTGAAAACGTAGGTCGATCGTTTTTCTTGGTGATAGAAATGTTTGGAACAATAGAGGAAACTACCGCAAATGAAAGGCGGAACGTTTCAATTATTCCCTGAATAGTTAACTTGTTACTTATTGATTACACAACAAAGGGAACTGTTGTTACTAGCCAGGAAAACGTATAAAACCCACATGATTGTAACGCAAGGACTCATTCGCGTCGAAGATGGATCCGAACGCAGTACAGGGATTACGTGCACTGTTGAATCTCTTAAACCAACCGAACGTCAGCAGGGAGGTTGATCGGCTGTTTAGGGCTTCGACGCCTTCAACAGCTTCAGGAAATCCGTCAACCCCCTCGGTTACTACCACGGCGGCTACCGGATCTACCCTACAAACTCCTCCATCGATAAGAAATATCGGGCCGCTCTTTAGTGCAAGAGGAGGAGCGTCACGAGGAAGAGGCCGAAACCGATCGCGTCCTTACACAAGCGTAGGAGCACAGTTTTCCAGGGTGGTGATTCTCCTAGGCGACCCAACAGAAGATGACGTACCACGTGGAAGGGCCAGAGGTACGATCCGCGACGCGCAGCGCGAGGCTCGCGTCGCATTCAGGACCGGGATGACGTCCCAAGAAGTCAGAACGACCATTCTGTATGCGTTTCAAGCCCAAGGGCATCTGAGAACAGTAACGTAAGTAAAATCTTTCCATATTTACAAGCACCAATAAAACAGCATCGACTTAAATGATGCTATAGTACAGTAGGTGACAATTCTCAGAATTCATCGCCCATGAAATAACCTACGTGCATGTTATAAGAAAATTGCCGTTGTATTTTGACTGATACCTTTTATACACTACCTTGTACAGAAACCACATGATTAACCCTTTAAGCCCCAAGATAGATCAGCCTTAAATTTCTCCTTATAATATCGATGCTTTAGAAGACATAGTGGTCATGAGAATTGAGTACGTGATCAGGGAAGAGGAGTCTAATTGATATTTCACCAAATTCTCCCCACTACTTCTATTAGATTGTATGGGGACAGTAAATGAGAATCTCGATTTCAATATCACGAGGGTTTAAGGGGTTAACAGTATATACGCTAAATTCCAAGTTGGTTCAGCTGGAGAGTTTTAAAGTATTTTTGTATCTTGCAATGAATAATGGCTTTCACTAAGCAAGGAATGAGAGACACCATTTTTTCTTACAAAACAGTGAATAGCCATAGATATTCTGAGTTATAAGAGACAATCAGAACACACAAAATTGCCAGCCACTGATTAGGTAAATACTAATTATTGATATATTTGGTGAAAGAACATACACCTGTTTGTAGTATACTGACCAAAATCCAATAAGTCAAGACAAAACGAGGAAAATTTTTGGGCACAAAATTACGTGTAGCCAAAAGTGCTAGTTGAGGCATGCCAAATTAATTCTAATACATAATAACAAGTAAAAGCAAAGAGAAAAGAAACGAAAGAACATGTGCTATAAAGTCGAAAGCAAGAAAAACAAATCTCATTAATGCAAGTTGTGAAAGGAGCTAAGTTTTAGGATTTCGCGATTTTATTTCTTGCATCAAGGTATTCTGTAATCAACTTTTTCTTTTAATTTTTTAAAGAGTACACTGATTAATTTTTGTTTAATACACATATTTTGACATCTCTCATTCTACCTGTTATCTCATTCCATAATGATATTTTGTGCCAGGATTTGGGACGGCTTGTCTTAGTTTTCCAACATTAAATTTTTTGATGTACATGTTTTTTGTTGAGGATGATCATTTGTTATAAGAATAAATAGAAGACATCTGCTGGAACAAATAAAAGTTTTTGAGGATGCTGTATTAGAATGATTATCATGCATTGGGTAAGGCCCATGTTCACCCTAGTGGCTTTGCGTGCTTGTGTTCTTGTTTTGAAACACTTCTTTTGTCAAATTCAGTGTTTTGATTGGGCAGAGTGTTCGCATTTTTCACACTTGGCTGAAGCATGACTCTATAAACACTGAAGACAGCAATTTTCAACTAAAAAGATCATTTTTTCTGGAGTATATTGCACGCAAAGATGCTTGGGTGAACATTGGCCTTTAGTAGAGATAGCTAAATTGGTAGGATATTTGGATCAATAAGAAGAGAAATGGCATGATCATTCCTTTTGGAAGAAAAAATGAATCGGATAACTTTTTTTCAGAAGCAATAAGATATTTGTTAAATGTGTTTTTGAGGGCTGCCATCAATAACATACTACAGTACAATGTCTAAGAGTCTCCCCAAAATGCCAAGAAACACTGCTCATGCTCATTGCTGTGTTCAATTTAAGTGAGATCAGAAATTGAAAGCTTTTCTGTCACATAGGGCAAACAAATATAAATTTAATGGTCTAAAAAATCTAGTGTTGCAGGAAAAAAGTATGTGTACAGTGTTACAAAACCGTCACTATCTGAAAATTTGTTCTATGTGTTGTTTCAACAGAGATTGCTCACAGTTTGAGTTTTTGACGTGTGACGAGTCGAACAAGAGGAAGCTGGTGCAGGTGACAAACCAAAACCCATCTGCAAGTGAAGTCAAGACCTGCTGGCGGTCACAGTGCCCGATATACGTAAGACCACAGTATGCCCTTCCAGTCTCAACGAGCACTGTAAGTTCATTTTGGAAAAATATTCAGTTTCCTTCCATTCACTTTTTATTGTTCCAATTTGTCTGTATACACAATGTGTATTGGTGCCTCGACATCCTCAGTAGCTCTCATAAATCAGGAGATTTTTTATTGTAAAATAACAAGAGAAGGATGTACAGAATTCAGCGCTTAATTAGAGATCTTATATCTGGATTTAAGCTTGGACATTGCGTGAAGATGTTCAGCTACCCTGTGTACAGACACCAGGGCAATTTTTGGCCTACATGTGTTGGTCATGACTCTTAAAATTAGGCAAAGGTAATGCTCTTGTAATTTGTTGCTGAAGAGAAGTGAACGATCCTGGATCATAAAATGCTCGACTGGAAATGTAAACACTAGTGCTTCTGAGATCAAAATTCTGCCAAACCAAAATCCACAGGAAATCGATGCACAGTAACGGACCGACTTTATTAGCTAACAAAAAAAGACCGAAGACTGTGTTAGAATCTTCCAACTCTTTCAATCTTCTACTCGTTATTAAGGACATTTTAACTAGATATTCTAGTTAGAACCTAGCTTAGCTATAAAGGTTGAGAACATCTGATAACTGCGTACATGCTGCACAAGGGTCCAGAGTTGTGTTGATCTGTCAACATCTTTTCAACTGTCAATTTAGGCAAATGTATACTGGTATACGAATAACGACGGCGATTCACAGATGTCTCTTCTCCCCATTTTTTCTATGGAGGGAGGACGTCTGTACACAGGCTATCATAAGCTAGAAATAACAAATTCACTGTGTGTCCTCTTCTTTTCTCCCAAAGGCGACCTCACCTGGATCAGCCAGCCCAGGATTTTTGTTTCGGCAGGTCAACTTACAGAATCTGCTTCAAAGCCTGTCGGGCCAAGACACAACACCCACTGCATTACCTACAACACCCACCACCAGTACACTTACAACACCTTCCACCCACACAAGCACTACTACCACTACAACACTTCCAACATCCACCACCAGTACATTCACAACACCCACCACAACAGTTACTACACCATCCACCAACACAAGCTCTACTACCACTACAACACTTCCAACATCCACCACCAACACAATCACTACTACCACTACAACACCTCCCACACCCACCACCACCAGTACACTTACAATGCCTACAATCACACTTACCACAGCCACCATCGCCAGTACACTTACAATGCCCACCACAACAATCACCGCACCCACCACCACTGGCAGCACTAGCAGCACAGCACCTGCACCCTCTGTAAGACTGGCAACACCACGTGATAGTGATGAGGAAGGTATGTTTCTGAACGAAAAAGTCACTATTGCTACTATAATAAACATCTAGTTGATTGTAGAGCTGCTGGTCACATATCTCGTGGCTTTAAAATAACATGACAAAGTTGATTATGTAAAGGAAATTGAGCCTAAACAACATTTCTTAAATGTTTCATCATCTTACTTTAAAGAAGACCGCAAGCACAGAACAACAGAACATGGCAGTTCAGCAAAGTTACAGTTTTAGTTGTCTCATTTTTTCCCAATCACCATGGTGACTAAAACGAGACAAATAATACATTCAGTTTTTTTGGTAATAATCACACCTCACAAGACACTTTCATTAAATGTTCAGATCTACTGCATCCTGCTTGGGAGGTTGACAACCCTTCTCCAATATCACTGCCAGGTATGACTTGACATAATCTTTTACACTTTATATCCAGAATGTTGGATAGGGTACTGTACAGTTTCCATGTATATAATAATAGTTGGCTGGTTCAAACTTGCAAACTTTTTGCTTGATTTTTCTCAGTAGGACGTGTTCATAATCAATCAATATTATTCTTCTTGTTTTAAACCCACCTCAACCTCCTCATTGCTTACGACCATGACTGTTCCACCTAGGGTCTCCTGCATCAACGGTATCTGTGGATTTGCACTCTAGCCGTGAAGGTAAGAGTATTGAACGTTCAATCCACACTCCAGCTTCTGTACAGATACTTTGTTTTGTAACAAACTGAATGGTAACATCAATATGCATGCATACATGCATGGTAAAATCAATATGCCTCCTCTTGAAACTCAAGGGACAGTTTATGTGGATGCCAATTCCATGCATCATACACTGTAGAAAAAAAAAGTGGTTAAGTAACCCAAACTTCAGTAATGAGTACTTAGGACAAGGAAAATTAAAGCTTGATTCTATTATTATTTATTAATTTTTCATCATACCAATATCATATATCTACAAAAAGACAAAGATGTACCTAACTGTATGTAATAAAAATTAATAACTGTACCATGCAGCGTTCATACTCTTTCGAGCTCTTCAATTCCCAAGACTTTTTCCATGACCTTTTCAGGTTCTTCAAGACCTTAGGTTTAGTTGTCAGTTTCAAAACTCTTCAAAATTTCCCTTATTTTGGGGTATTTTTTGACCATAAAAAGTTCAACAGACACAAACTCTGGTGTCCACCAGAATGCGTGTCGTTTGCGCTGTTTAATTACTCCTCTCTATCTTACATAGACCTTGCTTTGTCATATGCAGAAACTAAACTAACAAAGAAAACTTTAATTTTCCACGTCTTTCAAGGCTCCATGACTTTCCAGGCCTGCAAAATAAAATTCTTAAATTCCATGACTTTCCAGGTTTTCTGTACAAACCCTGCCATGCAATGGCTACAAAATGTTGATTCCAAAAAATATGAGATTTCATCGAGTGAGACAACCAGGAATTAAATGGCATGCAACAATAGTACAAAGTCAAGAAAATTTAACATTACATTGTACCAATAAAATGTGTGGCACCAAAAATTATTCACACACTGTACCTCCTCCATGGAAGGGATTTTCCCTTCCCCCCCTACCCACCAAGCTTAATACATTCAATTAAATTTTTTAGGCCTTTGAGAGACCCCCCCCAACCCCCAGAAATTTCCAATCCCTTCTGCGGGGGGGAATATGGGTATTTTCTAGAACTACACAATATGATGATAGGATAGATTTAAAGTTTTTATGGAGTACCCATTCGAAATACTGGTCAAACAAGACAAGCATGTTATTCTCAGACTATGTGAATTTTCTGCGTACAACTGTAATACAAGTGGTGATATATCGAGGGACCGTCACACAAAAATATCTAATATTAGTGAAGACACAGTGTGTGAAATCAGGCATTTATGTTATTATTTTAAGACTTTCCAGTTGGAAACCCCTCTTTATACCTTTATCTATTGTTCTTCTTTCCAATGAGACTTTCCCAGAAATCTAGTCACGTACTTAATAGATGTGATTGTTGGAATGAGTAGTCTAATCATATGATTATTTATATTTCCTTACATTCAGATAACAGCCACTCTCAAATTGCTGTTCAAGGTAAATTCAAGCTCTCGGCAAAGTTTTATAGTTTGATAAGCCTATTTTGATTTTCAAGTATGTTTGTACCAATAGAGTTAAGGAAGTAATGCCATCCACTGAAATCAATATACTTAGAGAAAATGTTTGATTTTCTTTTTCCCTTCAGTGTCAGAAGACATGGTGGCCCTGCCCACCTCAGTAATGGTTACTGGTAAGTTAACTACAGGTGTAGCTGGCTAAAAATTATGTTGTTCAGTAATTGTTCATTTGAGAGATACAGTTGTACCTAGAATATGGCCTGTTTTAATCTTACATGATATATGCAACAACATTACTATTATTATTATTACTATTATTAAAGTGAATTATGAGGATTCTGGCTATTTTTTGATGACAAATGACCATTTTGTTTTTTATTTTACTACAAGGTCCTGAGGTTGGGGATATAAGCCCATTGTTAATACAACCTTCTAGCCAAACCTTAGCTGGTAAGAACAATAGCTTTTTTAAGTGGTATATTAATCTGCAGTCCACTACTATTAGTATGACCTTCTCTAATAAGCCTTCTGTTCAGTCGACTGAATTCCAGACTTGGTCTTGTCACATTGATGAACAACAGAAGTCCGCTTTCTTTGAGTAGTTAAAAAAACAGGAAAAACTACATTAAATTAGTGGTTAAATACCTTTTCATGTAATCCATTGTTGGACAGAATTGTCACACAGTATTCACGAGTCCAACCCATTCACCGCCCATGTTCAGCCCTAAAGTGATGATGAGTGATCAATGAGTCTCTTTGTTTGAGCAGGCACAAAGATAATGTGAATGATATTCATGTACTTTTTTTTCTCTTTGCAACACTGTATCAAAAAAAGTAAAATAACCATGAATATATTGTATTTTTGCAATCTACGTTGATTTTTGTACCACTACAACCTCTTTAAAGCAATCACCTGGCTATTTCTTAATGTTGATCACTTAGTATAAGCTTAGGGGCCAGTCTGACTATCTTTTATTCATTTCATATTGCAGCTTTCTCTTCTGTGCAACCAGAGATGTTCTTGGCATGGATTAATGAGGTTTTTGGATGGCAACATCCCATCATTTATACCACACCATATCCTTTGGTAAGTCTATGGTGTACTAAAAAAATTACAGGAAGTTATAAATCCTGATGGTAGAGGGTTACCCCCTTCATCAACTAAATAATATTATAGAGCTATCAAATATTCTCAGCAACGTAATTACAATGTTATGATCAGACAATATCCTAGGGTGTACGCTAGATGCCCCTTTAGTGGTACTCTTAATTTATAACAAATCTTTCCTGGACTAAATCTGTGGTCCCTTGTCAGTTTCCATTATCTCAGCTCAGCCTTACAAGATAGTACATGTATGATACTTTTGGATAGATTGTTCAACAAGCTGCACAGCAGATGGTGCCCTTAGTGCTGTATTTTGCAGAATTTTCTTCCCCGGATATCCACCAGGAAGATTTCTGTAGGTATGTACATGTACATGGAATTTCTTCATAAGAGAAAAATAATACTTGTAGCAGACAGGTGTTTTGTAGAGGGAGTGTTTGGACCAGAAGGGAAAGCAAGCTGGTTTGCAGTCACAACTGCAGAATTTGCTCAATCTACGTACAGTAGATATGCTTATTGTCAGAATTTTTCAGAGATCGCTCAAATAAGAAAATATGGAATTATACCATGAATCCCATAAACCAAAATTGACATGATCTGAAATGTTGATCGACAGTTATTCATCAAAGTCAATTGAATTAAAACACAAAAGCTGAAAATTGCCTTTCTTTTTAGGAATATCCTGACTGACCCTGAAGTGGTTCGTATATGTAACAACGTCTTCTTCTGGGCAATAGGCAATTGCCCAGAAAGCCTTGAAAGTAAGTTGAAAGACGAGAGAACAATTTTTAGTTGCTACGAGATAAAAAAATCGATAAGCAATCGCAGTCCACAAACGTGGTTAGATGATACGATATCTTAGTTTTTAAATATTTTAGTTAGTGTTGTATAATACCCAGTACAATTAGCATCAAAACTGATTATTGTGCCCCTATAATAAGGATCAGAACTCATCTCCACTCTTTTTTTTTTAACATAAACAGTCCAAAGAGCACTTCTTCAAGGCCATCAAAGAGCACCAGTACTTGTTGCCATCACCCATGATGCTTTTGGAAGGCAAATGACCCCTCGCACCCTGACTGATTGTAAGTGTCAATTCTACAATTATCATTACTTTTTGTTATTCTATAACAGTTTTTTACTGATTTTTTCTTGTTACGAGTTACCATTGTTGATTATTGGTATTATTGCCGGTGACTAATTTTCAAAGTGCACTCGTTTGAAAAAAACATAGTCATGGTTAAATGGTTTAATGTCAGCATATATGAGGAAGATATATGAGGAAGAAGAGAGTAGGTCTCACGACAGAAGTAATTTTCATTGGTGCTATTTCTCATAAGAAAAGGAAGACTATTCGACTGCTGTGCAGCACTATCCTGAAAGCTGCAATTCTCTAGTAGAGCAATTAATCATTTTGCAGTGTTAGAATGCAGTTAACCTTCAAAAATGTCTCTTTCCTTCATTGTTAACCAGCCTACTTTTTCTACATCATTTATGTCTCTAATGTGACACCCAGCAACAAAACAAGTTACAGCAAATTGTAAGCATTAAAGTTACGGAGCTTTAAGTTTGTAAAAATTTTCTGCAAGATGCCATGCAAGCACACTGTAACAGGACTCTGACAATGTGTGCAAGAATAGATGCTCAGTGCAATAAAAGAAATTACTCCCGTTTATATTATGATATGCATGGTTTATGGAAGTCTAACCTTCTATTTCCAACTTTCAAACGTTCGGTTAAAAGAAAATCTTAAACAAGCCTTGATCCTTAATTTATTTTTTTTCAGTAAGTTACAATAATTATTACAAAATGTGTTAATTGCTATTCAAAATCTTGTCTTGATAGTTTTAATTTCTTTGGCTTATTTATTCTTTCAGTATCTGCACAAGAAGTAGTTAACTTTATTTGTAATGCTGTGACTGTGCAAAACACTCAGCTGCAAGCAAGGTACATATTCTACTATTAAATTCAAAATGTAATTCACATAAGACCATGAGGAATCAAACCTTATAAGAATTATGTTATGGTAAATACTCTATTCAGTTCAACCTTAAACTGCAACCTGCACATCTACATGTATATTTTATGTAAAACAATACAGATGCTTCAATTTGTAACAAAATAATGTGCCCAACACAAGAAAAACAAATTACATTCTAATTTATATCAGAGATTTTTCTTTACTACCCTTTGGAAACCACACTTCACCACACATTTCTGCCATTTCGAGTTAGCATTGTGGACTACTGAGAGAAAAAAAACTTATTGTCTATACATGTAAGTAGATGGATCTTAACTGTATTGGGGAGGGGAGGGGGTGTTGTGGGGGGGCTTAAAAAGCAGCCTTTTACAGAATTCTAGCCTTTTGTCTTTCCAGCCAGAGAAAGTTTAAAATTTGTTTCCAAGGAATACAAGTCTCAAAAGGACCCACAACTTGAAAGGAAGCTCTCTAAATAATATTGAATACCTGTGTTGGTTTGTTTAAGAATACACATAAACTTAAAATATGCATAAAATTGTTTTCTTAGGACAAATAGAGAATTAAGAGAACAGCAAGACAGAGAATATCAAGAAAGTCTTGCACAAGACCAGGAAAGGGTTAGTAGCTTAAGCACAACACAACACAACAACGATGCAAACAAAAACATTCTGTTTACTTCAATTAAAGAGGATATCAGGGATGAAGTTTATATATTTTTTGATTTATCCATTTTTATAAGGAGAGACAGAGAGCAGAGGAGAGACAGAGGGAAGAGGAGAGGCAACAAAGAGAGGTAATTTATGACAGTGTTACTTTGATAATTAAGTACTTAGTTTCCTTAAAATCAAAATCATTAAAGTACAGAACAGCAAGAATAACAATTTAATAACCATTTACATCTATTTTGACAAGCAGGTCCTTTTAGTTGTAATAATTAAATAAAGTTTCTTAATTACAATAATCTTGACCTTAAAGAGCCATAATTAAAAAAGCAGCTAAGAAAGCAGCCAGATTTTTCTTGTCATTATCTGAAAACCCCTGGTCAAATTAAAATCTTACTTTTTCATGTTAACATGAGCTTACTCGATATAGTAAATTGCAGCCAATAGTCTAGTAATGTATTGTCTCTCACTGTATTTAGGCCGAGCAGCTCAGAGAAGAAGAAAGAAATAGAGCAGAAGCAGAACGCCGAAATGCTGAGGTAAAAAAAAAAAGTCTTGGAAAGGAAGAATCCTAAAACCAAAAACGATTGATTTAAAAGATCCTTAGTTGGTTGCAGTGTTAAAATATTACTCAGCTGTTTTGCTTTGCTTTGCCTTGCATTGCTTGGAGAAACGTTTTGTGTTATGCCTTAATCTTGGATTAAACTTAACCATCTTTTGAGAAACCGGGTTCTGGTTATCTTTTGCACAAAGAAAATCACATCTATTTAGAGAAAATTGTAGTTAATTAGAGATGCCCACTAACCTATGCCAGGCTCTCAGATATTAGGATGTCAAGTAAAAATAAGATGCTTTTCCTTTAGGATGAACATGACACTAGGTCACTTCCAGCTTCTTAGTTACACTAGTGTTTATTCACTTGTTATGCTTACTCTGAAGCTCGTGCTTCAATGTCTGATACAAGAGAATTAATATCAATTAACACCAGTAAATTTAAAACAAACTCTCATCTTTATAGGCAATACGTGAGGCAAGAGAGGGGCTACCTCCAGAGCCTCTGGAAAATGAAAACACTTTAACAGTGAGAATCCGTGGCCCAAATGGAAATTCTGTACTGAGGACGTTTTTCAATCATGAAACCACACAGGTAAAACAAAGTGAATCACCCATGTAATAATATGCAAGAAAGTTAAACTTTTTTGCAAGCTTGTCAATAGGCCTTTTTAGTTTTTTTTCCCAACGAGGCTGACCTGGCTTTGATACAACCCTTCCTGCTTTGTCTTATGCTAACTAGTATTTTTAAACCATAATTTCCATAGGAAAAGGAAGGACTCGTTTGTGTAATAACAAGGTCAACCCCAACCTCACGTTCAGTCAAAGGCTAGGATACTAAGCCTAATACTAGAGAACTTTCCCGTTATAATCATCTTATCTACGTGCAAATGCACGCGCTTTTTGAAAAGATAAACCTCCCTACGACATCTATTGGGAAAACAACAAATACAAGGTTAATTCTAAAGTAAAGCATCTGGGAGGGAGTTGAAGTGTTTGAAAATGAGTTACCTGTAGTTGTTATCCATGGCTAATTACCATTTAGACGCGAAACTTAACTACGGCTTAAATTCTTGAGCGGGCGCTGAACACCAGGACCACCACGGAATATCGCACAATTTACTCTAAAACGGGATAATGTTTGAGGGAAACAAAGAAGTCATGTTGGCTTTGAGTTACAGCTTACGTTATCTCTTAATTTCCATAAAGGCTAATTTAAAAAAAGACTTCCAAACGGATGAAAAATTATAAATTATTTTGAAAATATAAACGTTTCACTCGTTAATACGAAGCCCCCTGATCGCCGATTCATCTAAAAACTATTCTTATAGAACTTACCTTGAGTAATAATGGATCGGAGCGCGCCTCAGTCTTGTACAGCCTGGTACAGCCTTCAAAACGAAGGGATGAAATATGCTTGGCAGCCTGGCTTCAAACCTGGCAAGCATATACACTGACGTCATCAATTGTTTTATTTCTGATTCAGGTGCTTTTCAGGGCGGTTATCAACGCTATGAGTCATGCAAAGAGTTAATATTGGTCAAACGTATATAAGAAGATGTCAGGAGCCTGAAGATGTGTATTTCCACCTCTGTCCCATATTTATTACTAAAAGAACGCAAGCGCTGGTTTTCCGATTAATAGCTTGTCAATTTCATTGAAATAAATAGTTATTCGAAATTCAAACAATTCCAACAAAGATCCAATTATAATGATCTATTTTTACTTAATGAAAGCTCTCCCCCTTCTGGCAACCTCTTGTAACTTTACGCCAAAAAAAAAATAAATAAACACCCAACCAACAAACAAGTATAACTAACCGAAGAGTGATACATGACAAGTTATGTATTTTATGTATGGATTTATTAAAATCCTCGATGAATCGACTGAAAAGAGAAACTTGCACACGCACACACTTATATATCTCCAAAGATCACCCGTCCCCCACTTCCCCACTTACAATTACACACATTACGCTTAAATGAGACCAAGAGTTGATTTATTTTTGTAAAAAGACCTTTGTGTAATATTTACTTTCACTGGAAATATTTTTTTTTACGTAAGACAAAAAGGAAGAAAACAACTGGGGCTTAACAAAACCAAATCGTTGAAATCTTATTAAAAACAGCTGGAGCTTAACAAAACCAAATCGTTGACATCTTATTAAACTATTAACTAGAGGTGCAAAATATGTACAAAAGTTTGCGCAATCGTATACTTATATACTTGGCAAACTTGGCAAAACTTCTTCAAGGAAAGGTTCCCTTTTAAACAAATATATAGATTTAGCCAAAATTTAGTGGTATAAACTTTTTTGACTAGTAGTCCCATTTTTTACCTCAGGGATAGCAGAGCCGGTAGCGAAACGCGAGCGCCAAGAACTCTAATATCCCTGAGGAAAAATGGGACTACTCGAATCTAAAACTATTTGCAAAATCCTAAAGATGTTCACATTGTTTCGAACACACATAGTTTGGAAAAACACATTCCAAGGCTCAGAGTACAGGTCAAATTTTTTCTTCATACTGGAAAAATTCGTTGGACTCAGTTACCTTTGCCCATATATGAGTGTATTTACTTTGTCTTAAATTTGAATATGTCCGACAAAAGAATCTAGACTAATTGTCATCATTTGTTTCAAGTTTCTTTTTTCGCAGAATGCTTAGTTAAATGTTCTGTATTATACTGTACAACGCAAATGATCGATGATTTTTTTGGTTGACTCATATAACGGAAAGCGATACATTTGCGACCTTCTGCAATTTGTTTTAGTGATCACTCATTCACAGGCATTAGAAGAAGGAACGTAGGTGTCTTATCCGATATATGTTATTGATAATATCCCCTCGCTTTCTTCACCGTTTATTTTGTCAATGGACACTCCTTGTATTTTATAGCCGATGTCCAGTTTATCCTAGTATCGGTTTAGTAAAATAAATGTATGTGAATGAGTGTTCTTAAAACGTTCTTTGATATTTATAAATATTTACAATCCAAGGAGAAGAAAGATTTACTCATTATTTAACATTCATATATAAGCTTAAGGGTCCTGGGAGCAGGAGAGGCCCCGTGAGCGAAAGTACTGCCAGGCCTATCCCATTCCCAGGAGACTGGTATTAAAATACAACATGCTTTTTTAAATTTTGTTTCCGTACTTAAAGAGAACAACTACACCACAGACAATAAATAGCCACAGACACAGGGGAACCAGGGCCATAGCCTAGAAAAAAATAGCTGTTCACAGTCCTTTGCACCAGCTTTAGCTAAGACAGGTTGTACAAATGAGAGTACAACAATGTTTTGGAAAATTAGAAGTTTTGCACTGTGAGTCCAACAACGAAAATTGGTTCACAGAGGACTCCAAAAGGAAAACCGATAAATCTGGCTATGGGCCTGATTCGTCCTGCATCTCTATTATAAGAACAGTGTAATTGTTCAATGAAAGGTCTACCAAAGAAGAACCGTCATTATGTATGGGTGGCCCTCGATGTCTGTGGATTACGAAGTCTTGGCTGGGCAGAGACAGTAGAGCAAACGCCGCCCTGAAAAGCACCTGAATCAGAAATAAAACAATTGATGACGTCAGTGTATATGCTTGCCAGGTTTGAAGCCAGGCTGCCAAGCATATTTCATCCCTTCGTTTTGAAGGCTGTACCAGGCTGTACAAGACTGAGGCGCGCTCCGATCCATTATTACTCAAGGTAAGTTCTATAAGAATAGTTTTTAGATGAATCGGCGATCAGGGGGCTTCGTATTAACGAGTGAAACGTTTATATTTTCAAAATAATTTATAATTTTTCATCCGTTTGGAAGTCTTTTTTTAAATTAGCCTTTATGGAAATTAAGAGATAACGTAAGCTGTAACTCAAAGCCAACATGACTTCTTTGTTTCCCTCAAACATTATCCCGTTTTAGAGTAAATTGTGCGATATTCCGTGGTGGTCCTGGTGTTCAGCGCCCGCTCAAGAATTTAAGCCGTAGTTAAGTTTCGCGTCTAAATGGTAATTAGCCATGGATAACAACTACAGGTAATTCATTTTCAAACACTTCAACTCCCTCCCAGATGCTTTACTTTAGAATTAACCTTGTATTTGTTGTTTTCCCAATAGATGTCGTAGGGAAGTTTATCTTTTCAAAAAGCGCGTGCATTTGCACGTAGATAAGATGATTATAACGGGAAAGTTCTCTAGTATTAGGCTTAGTATCCTAGCCTTTGAGTGAACGTGAGGTTGGGGTTGACCTTGTTATTACACAAACGAGTCCTTCCTTTTCCTATGGAAATTATGCTTTAAAAATACTAGTTAGCATAAGACAAAGCAGGAAGGGTTGTATCAAAGCCAGGTCAGCCTCGTTGGGAAAAAAAACTAAAAAGGCCTATTGACAAGCTTGCAAAAAAGTTTAACTTTCTTGCATATTATTACATGGGTGATTCACTTTGTGTTACCTGTGTGGTTTCATGATTGAAAAACGTCCTCAGTACAGAATTTCCATTTGGGCCACGGATTCTCACTGTTAAAGTGTTTTCATTTTCCAGAGGCTCTGGAGGTAGCCCCTCTCTTGCCTCACGTATTGCCTATAAAGATGAGAGTTTGTTTTAAATTTACTGGTGTTAATTGATATTTCTCTTGTATCAGACATTGAAGCACGAGCTTCAGAGTAAGCATAACAAGTGAATAAACACTAGTGTAACTAAGAAGCTGGAAGTGACCTAGTGTCATGTTCATCCCAAAGGAAAAGCATCTTATTTTTACTTGACATCCTAATATCTGAGAGCCTGGCATAGGTTAGGGGGCATCTCTAATTAACTACAATTTTCTCTAAATAGATGTGATTTTCTTTGTGCAAAAGATAACCAGAACCCGGTTTCTCAAAAGATGGTTAAGTTTAATCCAAGATTAAGACATAACACAAAACGTTTCTCCAAGCAATGCAAGGCAAAGCAAACCAAAACAGCTGAGTAATATTTTAACACTGCAACCAACTAAGGATCTTTTAAATCAATCGTTTTTGGTTTTAGGATTCTTCCTTTCCAAGACTTTTTTTTTTTACCTCAGCATCTCGGCGTTCTGCTTCTGCTCTATTTCTTTCTTCTTCTCTGAGCCCCTCGGCCTAAATACAGTGAGAGACAATACATTACTAGACTATTGGCTGCAATTTACTATATCGAGTAAGCTCATGTTAACATGAAAAAGTAAGATTTTAATTTGACCAGGGGTTTTCAGATAATGACAAGAAAAATCTGGCTGCTTTCTTAGCTGCTTTTTTAATTATGGCTCTTTAAGGTCAAGATTATTGTAATTAAGAAACTTTATTTAATTATTACAACTAAAAGGACCTGCTTGTCAAAATAGATGTAAATGGTTAGTAACTTGTTATTCTTGCTGTTCTGTACTTTAATGATTTTGATTTTAAGGAAACTAAGTACTTAATTATCAAAGTAACGCTGTCATAAATTACCTCTCTTTGTTGCCTCTCCTCTTCCCTCTGTCTCTCCTCTGCTCTCTGTCTCTCCTTATAAAAATGGATAAATCAAAAAATATATAAACTTCATCCCTGATATCCTCTTTAATTGAAGTAAACAGAATGTTTTTGTTTGCATCGTTGTTGTGTTGTTGTTTTAATATTATTTTAGTGTTGAAAGCCTTTGTACTACTAGCTTAAGCTACTAACCCTTTCCTGGTCTTGTGCAAGACTTTCTTGATATTCTCTGTCTTGCTGTTCTCTTAATTCTCTATTTGTCCTAAGAAAACAATTTTATGCATATTTTAAGTTTATTTGTATTCTTAAACAAACCAACACAGGTATTCAATATTATTTAGAGAGCTTCCTTTCAAGTTGTGGGTCCTTTTGAGACTTGTATTCCTTGGAAACAAATTTTAAACTTTTTCTGGCTGGAAAGACAAAAGGCTAGAATTCTGTAAAAGGCTGCTTTTTAAGAGACATTTTTGAAGGTTCACTGCATTCTAACACTGCAAAATGATTAATTGCTCTACTAGAGAATTGCAGCTTTCAGGATGGTGCTGCACAGCAGTCGAATAGTCTTCCTGTTCTTATTAGAAATAGCACCAATGAAAATTACTTCTGTCGTGAGACATACTCTCTTCTTCCTCATATATCTTCTTCATATATATGCTGACATTAAACCATTTAACCATGACTATGTTTTTTTCAAACGAGTGCACTTTGAAAATTAGTCACCGGCAATAATACCAATAATCAACAATGGTAACTCGTAACAAGAAAAAATCAGTAAAAAACTGTTATAGAATAACAAAAAGTAATGATAATTGTAGAATTGACACTTACAATCAGTCAGTGTGCGAGGGGTCATTTGCCTTCCAAAAGCATCATGGGTGATGGCAACAAGCACTGGTGCTCTTTGATGGCCTTGAAGAAGTGCTCTTTGGACTGTTTATGTTAAAAAAAAAGAGTGGAGATGAGTTCTGATCCTTCTTATAGGGGCACAATAATCAGTTTTGATGCTACTTGTACACTAACTAAAATATTTAAAAACTAAGATATCGTATCATCTAACCACGTTTGTGGACTGCGATTGCTTATCAATTTTTTTATCTCGTAGCAACTAAAAATTGTTCTCTCGTCTTTCAACTTTCTTTCAAGGCTTTCTGGGCAATTGCCTATTGCCCAGAAGAAGATGTTGTTACATATACGAACCACTTCAGGGTCAGTCAGGATATTCCTAAAAAGAAAGGCAATTTTCAGCTTTAAATTGTGTTTTAATTCAATTGACTTTGATAAATAACTGTCGATCAACATTTCAGATCATGTCAATTTTGGTTTATGGGATTCATGGTATAATTCCATATTTTCTTATTTGAGCGATCTCTGAAATATTCTGACAATAAGCATATTACTACTGTACATAGATTGAGCAAATTCTGCAGTTATAACTGCAAACCAGCTTGCTTTCCCTTCTGGTCCAAACACTCCCTCTACAAAACACCTGTCTACTACAAGTATTATTTTTCTCTTATGAAGAAATTCCATGTACATGTACATACCTACAGAAATCTTCCTGGTGGATTTCCGGGGAAGAAAATTCTGCAAAATACAGCACAAATTAAGGGCACCCGGTAATCTGCTGTGCAGCTTGTTGAACAATCTATCCAAAAGTATCATACATGTACTATTTTGTAAGGCTGAGCTGAGATAATGGAAACTGACAAGGGACCACAGATTTAGTCCAGGAAAGATTTGTTATAAATTTAGAGTATCACTAAAGGGGCATCTAGCATACACCCTAGGATATTGTCTGATCATAACATTGTAATTACGTTGCTGAGAATATTTGGTAGCTCTATAATATTATTTAGTTGATGAAGGGGGTAACCCTCTACCATCAGGATTTATAACTTCCAGTAATTTTTTTAGTACAGTCCACAATAGACTTACCAAAGGATATGGTGCGGTATAAATGATGGGATGTTGCCATCCAAAAACTTCATCAATCCATGCCAAGAACATCTCTGGTTGCACAGAAGAGAAAGCTGCAATATGAAATGAATAACAGATAGTCAGACTGGCCCCTAAGCTTATACTAAGTGAACAACATTAAGAAATAGCCAGGTGATTGCTTTAAAGAGGTTGTAGTGGTACAAAAATCAAAGTAGATTGCAAAAATACAATATATTCATGGTTATTTTACTTTTTTTGATACAGTGTTGCAAAGAGAAAAAAAAGTACATGAATATCATTCACATTAATATCTTTGTGCCTGCTCAAACAAAGAGACTGATTGATCACTCACCATCACTTTAGGGCTGAACATGGGCGGTGAATGGGTTGGACTCGTGAATACTGTGTGACAATTCTGTCCAACAATGGATTACATGAAAAGGTATTTCACCACTAATTTAATGTAGTTTTACCTGTTTTTTTTAACTACTCAAAGAAAGCGGACTTCTGTTGTTCATCAATGTGACAAGACCAAGTCTGGAATTCAGTCGACTGAACAGAAGGCTTATTAGAGAAGGTCATACTAATAGTAGTGGACTGCAGATTAATATACCACTTTAAAAAGCCATTGTTCTTACCAGCTAAGGTTTGGCTAGAAGGTTGTATTAACAATGGGCTTACATCCCCAACCTCAGGACCTTGTAGTAAAATAAAAAACAAAATGGCCATTTGTCATCAAAAAATAGCTAGGATCCTCATAATTCACTTTAATAATAGTAATAATAATAATAGTAATGTTGTTGCTAATTGCATATATCATGTAAGATTAAAACAGGCCATATTCTAGGTACAACTGTATCTCTCAAATGAACAATTACTGAACAACATAATTTTTAGCCAGATACACCTGTAGTTAACTTACCAGTAACCATTACTGAGGTGGGCAGGGCCACCATGTCTTCTGACACTGAAGGGAAAAAGAAAATCAAACATTTTCTCTAAGTATATTGATTTGAGTGGATGGCATTACTTCCTTAACTCTATTGGTACAAACATACTTGAAAATCAAAATAGGCTTATCAAACTATAAAACTTTGCCGAGAGCTTGAATTTACCTTGAATAGCAATTTGAGAGTGGCTGTTATCTGAATGTAAGGAAATATAAATAATCATATGATTAGACTACTCATTCCAACAATCACATTTATTAAGTACGCGACTAGATTTCTGGGAAAGTCTCATTGGAAAGAAGAACAATAGATAAAGGTATAAAGAGGGGTTTCCAACTGGAAAGTCTTAAAATAATAACATAAATGCCTGATTTCACACACTGTGTCTTCACTAATATTAGATATTTTTGTGTGACAGTCCCTCAATATATCACCACTTGTGTAGTTCTAGAAAATACCCATATTCCCCCCGCAGAAGGGATTGAAAATTTCTGGGGGTTGGGGGGGGGTCTCAAAGGCCTAAAAATTTAATTGAATGTATTAAGCTTGGTGGGTAGGGGGGGAAGGGAAAATCCCTTCCATGGAGGAGGTACAGTGTGTGAATAATTTTTGGTGCCACACATTTTATTGCTACAATGTAATGTTAAATTTTCTTGACTTTATACTATTGTTGCATGCCATTTAATTCCTGGTTGTCTCACTCGATGAAATCTCATATTTTTTGGAATCAACATTTTGTAGCCATTGCATGGCAGGGTTTGTACAGGTCATGGAAAACCTGGAAAGTCATGGAGCCTTGAAAGACGTGGAAAATTAAAGTTTTCTTTGTTAGTTTAGTTTCTGCATATGACAAAGCAAGGTCTATGTAAGATAGAGAGGAGTAATTAAACAGCGCAAACGACACGCATTCTGGTGGACACCAGAGTTTGTGTCTGTTGAACTTTTTATGGTCAAAAAATACCCCAAAATAAGGGAAATTTTGAAGAGTTTTGAAACTGACAACTAAACCTAAGGTCTTGAAGAACCTGAAAAGGTCATGGAAAAAGTCTTGGGAATTGAAGAGCTCAAAAGAGTATGAACCAGGCTGCATGGAACAGTTATTAATTTTTATTACATACAGTTAGGTACATCTTTGTCTTTTTGTAGATATATGATATTGGTATGATGAAAAATTAATAAATAACAATAGAATCAAGCTTTAATTTTCCTTGTCCTAAGTACTCATTACTGAAGTTTGGGTTACTTAACCACTTTTTTTTTTCTACAGTGTATGATGCATGGAATTGGCATCCACATAAACTGTCCCTTGAGTTTCAAGAGGAGGCATATTGATTTTACCATGCATGTATGCATGCATATTGATGTTACCATTCAGTTTGTTACCAAACAAAGTATCTGTACAGAAGCTGGAGTGTGGATTGAACGTTCAATACTCTTACCTTCACGGCTAGAGTGCGAATCCACAGATACCATTGATGCAGGAGACCCTAGGTGGAACAGTCATGGTCGTAAGCAATGAGGAGGTTGAGGTGGGTTTAAAACAAGAAGAATAATATTGATTGATTATGAACACGTCCTTCTGAGAAAAATCAAGCAAAAAGTTTGCAAGTTTGAACCAGCCAACTATTATTATATATACATGGAAACTGTACAGTACCCTATCCAACATTCTGGATATAAAGTGTAAAAGATTATGTCAAGTCATACCTGGCAGTGATATTGGAGAAGGGTTGTCAACCTCCCAAGCAGGATGCAGTAGATCTGAACATTTAATGAAAGTGTCTGGTGAGGTGTGATTATTACCAAAAAAACTGAATGTATTATTTGTCTCGTTTTAGTCACCATGGTGATTGGGAAAAAATGAGACAACTAAAACTGTAATTTTGCTGAACTGTCATGTTCTGTTGTTCTGTGCTTGCGGTCTTCTTTAAAGTAAGATGATGAAACATTTAAGAAATGTTGTTTAGGCTCAATTTCCTTTACATAATCAACTTTGTCATGTTATTTTAAAGCCACGAGATATGTGACCAGCAGCTCTACAATCAACTAGATGTTTATTATAGTAGCAATAGTGACTTTTTCGTTCAGAAACATACCTTCCTCATCACTATCACGTGGTGTCGCCAGTCTTACAGAGGGTGCAGGTGCTGTGCTGCTAGTGCTGCCAGTGGTGGTGGGTACGGTGATTGTTGTGGTGGGCATTGTAAGTGTACTGGTGATGGTGGCTGTGGTAAGTGTGATTGTAGGCATTGTAAGTGTACTGGTGGTGGTGGGTGTGGGAAGTGTTGTAGTGGTAGTAGTGATTGTGTTGGTGGTGGATGTTGGAAGTGTTGTAGTGGTAGTAGAGCTTGTGTTGGTGGATGGTGTAGTAACTGTTGTGGTGGGTGTTGTGAATGTACTGGTGGTGGATGTTGGAAGTGTTGTAGTGGTAGTAGTGCTTGTGTGGGTGGAAGGTGTTGTAAGTGTACTGGTGGTGGGTGTTGTAGGTAATGCAGTGGGTGTTGTGTCTTGGCCCAACAGGCTTTGAAGCAGATTCTGTAAGTTGACCTGCCGAAACAAAAATCCTGGGCTGGCTGATCCAGGTGAGGTCGCCTTTGGGAGAAAAGAAGAGGACACACAGTGAATTTGTTATTTCGAGCTTATGATAGCCTGTGTACAGACGTCCTCCCTCCATAGAAAAAATGGGGAGAAGAGACATCTGTGAATCGCCGTCGTTATTCGTATACCGATATACATTTGCCTAAATTGACAGTTGAAAAGATGTTGACAGATCAACACAACTCTGGACTCTTGTGCAGCATGTACGCAGTTATCAGATGTTCTCAACCTTTATAGCTAAGCTAGGTTCTAACTAGAATATCTAGTTAAAATGTCCTTAATAACGAGTAGAAGATTGATAGAGTTGGAAGATTCTAACACAGTCTTCGGTCTTTTTTTGTTAGCTCATAAAGTCGGTCCGTTACTGTGCATCGATTTCCTGTGGATTTTGGTTTGGCAGAATTTTGATCTCAGAAGCACTTACTAAGTGTTTACATTTCCAGTCGAGCATTTTATGATCCAGGATCATTCACTTCTCTTCAGCAACAAATTACAAGAGCGTTACCTTTGCCTAATTATTTTAAGAGTCATGACCAACACATGTAGGCCAAAAATTGCCCTGGTGTCTGTACACAGGCCGGTAGCTGAAAATCTTCACGCAATGTCCAAGCTTAAATCCAGATATAAGATCTCTAATTAAGCGCTGAATTCTGTACATCCTTCTCTTGTTATTTTACAATAAAAAATCTTCTGATTTATGAGAGCTACTGAGGATGTCGAGGCACCAATACACATTGTGTATACAGACAAATTGCAACAATAAAAAGTGAATGGAAGGAAACTGAATATTTTTCCAAAATGAACTTACAGTGCTCGTTGAGACTGGAAGGGCATACTGTGGTCTTACGTATATCGGGCACTGTGACCGCCAGCAGGTCTTGACTTCACTTGCAGACGGGTTTCGGTTTGTCACCTGCACCAGCTTCCTCTTGGTCGACTCGTCACACGTCAAAAACTCAAACTGTGAGCAATTAATCTCTGTTGAAACAACACATAGAACAAATTTTCAGATAGTGATGGTTTTGTAACACTGTACACATACTTCTTTCATGCAACACTAGATTTTTTAAACCATTAAATTTATATTTGTTTGCCCTATGTGACAGAAAAGCTTCCAATTTCTGATCTCACTTAAATTGAACACAGCAATGAGCATGAGCAGTGTTTCTTGGCATTTTGGGGAGACTCGTAGACATTGTACTGTAGTATGTTATTGATGGCAGCCCTCAAAAACACATTTAACAAATATCTTATTGCTTCTGAAAAAATGTTATCCGATTCATTTTTTCTTCCAAAAGGAATGATCATGCCATTTCTCTTCTTATTGATGCAAATATCCTACCAATTTAGCTATCTCTACTAAAGGCCAATGTTCACCAAAGCATCTTTGCGTGCAATATACTCCAGAAAAATGATCTTTTTAGTTGAAAATTGCTGTCTTCAGTGTTTATAGAGTCATGCTTCAGCCAAGTGTGAAAAATGCGAACACTCTGCCCAATCAAAACACTGAATTTGACAAAAGAAGTGTTTCAAAACAAGAACACAAGCACGCAAAGCCACTAGGGTGAACAATGCCTTACCCAATGCATGATAATCATTCTAATACAGCACCCTCAAAAACTTTTTATTTGTTCCAGCAGATGTCTTCTATTTATTCTTATAACAAATGATCATCCTCGACAAAAAACATGTACATCAAAAAATTTAATCTTGAAAAACTAAGACAAGCCGTCCCAAATCCTGGCACAAAATATTATTATGGAATGAGATAACAGGTAGAATGAGAGATGTCAAAATATGTGTATTAAACAAAAATTAATCAGTGTACTCTTTAAAAAATTAAAAGAAAAAGTTGATTACAGAATACCTTGATGCAAGAAATAAAATCGCGAAATCCTAAAACTTAACTCCTTTCACAACTTGCATTAATGAGATTTGTTTTTCTTGCTTTTGACTTTATAGCAGATGTTCTTTCTTTTCTTTTCTCTTTGCTTTTACTTTTTATTATGTAATAGAATTAATTTGGCATGCCTCAACTAGCACTTTTGGCTACATGTAATTTTGTGCCCAAAAATTTTCCTCGTTTTGTCTTGACTTATTGGATTTTGGTCAGTATACTACAAACAGGTGTATGTTCTTTCACCAAATATATCAATAATTAGTATTTACCTAATCAGTGGCTGGCAATTTTGAGTGTTCTGATTGTCTCTTGTAACTCAGAATATCTATGGCTATTCACTGTTTTGTAAGAAAAAATGGTGTCTCTCATTCCTTGCTTAGTGAAAGCCATTATTCATTGCAAGATACAAAAATACTTTAAAACTCTCCAGCTGAACCAACTTGAAATTTAGCGTATATACTGTTAACCCCTTAAACCCTCGTGATATTAAAATCGAGATTCTCATTTACTGTCCCCATACAATCTAATAGAAGTAGTGGGGAGAATTTCTTGAAATATCAATTAGACTCCTCTTCCCTGGTCACGTACTCAATTCTCATGACCACTATGTCTTCTAAAGCATCGATATTATAAGGAGAAATTTAAGGCTGATCTATCTTAGGGCTTAAAGGGTTAATCATGTGGTTTCTGTACAAGGTAGTGTATAAAAGGTATCAGTCAAAATACAACGGCAATTTTCTTATAACATGCACGTAGGTTATTTCATGGGCGATGAATTCTGAGAATTGTCACCTACTGTACTATAGCATCATTTTAAGTCGATGCTGTTTTATTGGTGCTTGTAAATATGGAAAGATTTTACTTACGTTACTGTTCTCAGATGCCCTTGGGCTTGAAACGCATACAGAATGGTCGTTCTGACTTCTTGGGACGTCATCCCGGTCCTGAATGCGACGCGAGCCTCGCCCTGCGCGTCGCGGATCATACCTCTGGCCGTAGTCACTAAAACATGGAACGACCTAAAACCACCTAAAACCACCTACAACCACCTCAAAAAATTCAACAACCACCTCAAACCATCTACAAACACCTCAAAAAAATCTACAACCACTCACAAACAATCTAAAACCATCTAAAACGAGGTATAAATGTCTCAAATAAGGCGAGACGACAACATGTCACGTACATGAAATACGAGAATCGAACAAAACATCCACCTCCCCCCAAAATCTTACTCTCCCTGGTCCCTTGTATCATCAACCTTTGGCTTAAGTCACGAAATGAAATGCGAGATCATGCTAAGTATATTAAAAGACTTAAAGAACTTTACAAAATGAACTATCAAGTCACAAAAAATAATAAAATAAAATAACAAACTCGTAGTCGAAAGACTGACTTGATTTGGCTTTTTCTACCCTGGGTACCATTGAGACGTTTTGGTTGACGTTTCATTTGTTTACATAATAGAGACCTTTAACATCACGTTTTTCATAAGAAACAGCAAACCGCAAACCACAAAATGTCATGTGACCTCGGCCTTGCCGTCACGTTTGCAGTTTACAGTTCACGTTTGAACCGCAGGAAGGGCTTCCAGCGGTAAGTAATTTACGGCAAGGTTTTTTGCCCCCAAAAATTGTACAGCCTCGCGTTTAAAGGTATGAACTAGCTTTTTATATCCGTTTGCGATGTGTTTGTTGGATTTCTGATCTCCAGTCAATGAATTATTGCTGATGTTTGGGCGATTAAAGTGATGCACTTCGACTTGATGAAAACAACACGGCTAAACAATGAACGCGTAGTTCAAATTAATTTTATATTCCTTTCTGCCGTACTAACAAAGGAAAGTATTCTGTTCCAATCCAGAGTTAATTTTTTTTCTCTATCTTGTTACTGAATTCATAACTTAAATCAGTCTCTCTTTAGTTCCTATTTTTAACGTATCACTCCGCGAATTTACCTGATGCTAAAGGTCTCTAATAGCACAAGGTAGGGTTTCTCTCTCTTTCGGACTGCTTCACTGCTGTTTTGTTCTGAGGTGGCGGATTATATTCCTAAGGACAAGTTAATTTTTTTAGCATCTGTTTATCATCCACCAATCATGTTTGTACATTCCCGGTGACTCCTTTAGATTAACGCTAGTGTCGTTAACACCCGTTTTCTGTGTCATCACACAAGGCTAACAAGTCTAAACTCCCTTGCGTCACGACACAGAAAGCGGAGACTAGTAGGTGTAATCATTGTTGAAAATGTTATGAAAATATAATCTACAATGCAGTGGATTCAGAAAACAAGGTAAGACGAGCCGAAATTAATAAAAACGATTTGAAAAATTGTACAAGTGAATGATTGTATTTAAAGTAATTTACCTGGATTTTTATATACGTTTATTATGTTTTGGAACCCAACTCTTCTTGGGAATGATGGGATATGCCCGCTTCTTGTTTTCGCTTTGCTCGTGGTAAATACGTCCCCACCATACTATCTGAGAGCCTGGCACAGGCTAGAGTAGCTGGTACTTTACGAGCTAAAACGGAACGAAAAATTTGGATCACGTATTCGGGTCTTCCCTCCCCGCCAAGGGCCGTTAATGGTAAGAACGTTTTGATTCATTTTGCTAAAAAGAATTATCAAATATCATTATATAATCTTTTCTAATTCTTGCAACTGTAAACGGGTTAATAGCTGTATAAAATCAGGCTCTACAAATGAGACACGTTCACACTAGACTAAAGGATTCTGCGGGACTACATTTCAGTTCACCCTAAAAAAGGGGGGGGAGGGGGGGCTAGGACTAAAAAAAGAGGCTACTAGAGAAAAGTGTGGGCCGGGGTCAGAGGCTAAGATTGGAAAGTAGAAGAGACTGGTTAAAACGATGTATCATGGTTTGCTTGTGTTTCCGGAGACTTTGAATCCCAAAACTAAAGTTTAGAACTTTATATACAGTCATAATAGTCATCTTGAATTCTATATGTGTAGTGTAAACGCATTTTGTCGTATGGTTTAGAATAAATTATGTTTTCAGATCAAAGCTGCGTAAATCGAACTGAACCAGTGCATGGAACCTCGCGTTTCCTGTTTTTTACTCTCACCTATTGTAAGTGTATGGAATATGTGTGAAAATCTTACTTATGAATCGGTATATTGCAAAAAGCTACGCAAGGATCAAGAATACTACTGACGACAATATACAGTACGGGGGCAGCTTTAGTGTCAACTATTACTTGTCGAGATATAGTGCGTCTTACCGTTAAAGGCGACCATCTTGAATGATTTTAATGTACCGAGGAGGCGGGCGGCGGGGATTAGTAGTTTTGACACTCATGCTAGATGGCAGCCCGTAACGCACAGCGCTCGATCTCGACGATATTACGCGAAAATAAGGGACTGTGAACAGTTTATATATTAATAGTCTCCGTGAACAGCTTTTGTTACTCACCTTTCGTATTTTCTTTGGAATTTGCTTTTCTTCATTCTCTTCGTTTTCGTCTGAATCACTGAGTATCACTATGGCTAAAAAAAAACAGTCACATTAGGTATTATATAACGTCGTGGCTTTCAATCGGGCTGGCGGAGATAAGAACTAGACGGATTTTAAGGGAAAAGGCGGAATGCAAGCAGTCTAGAAAAAGTATGAATAAGAATGGTCTGCATTAGAAATATTTTAAAGGAACTGTACGTATCTTCGGGATCTTCCTTTCGCAAGAACGCCATCGTGTACGAATGGTGACACGTATGCAATGGTGACTCATGATCACGTTTTGCTCCGGCTGAGATTCTAAATGAAATTTTCCAGACATATTCCAGATTTCGCACCATATGTAATCACTGGTACTGTGACATTTGAAACATGATTTTAAAACAATTAAAAATCACAAACCATCAGTTGTTGCTTAAATTATAATCAAATTGTCGATGAGTTTCACAAGAGAGAGGAAACAAAATCAAACTTATATTCCAGCCCTCCCAACATAAGAGGACAGTGCGGTGGAAGTTTTGTGTTAAGCTTAATGGTTGATGATACAAGGGAACAGGGGACCAGGGAGAGTAAGATTTTAGGGGGAGGTGGATGTTTTGTTCGATTCTCGTATTTCATGTACGTGACATGTTGTCGTCTCGCCTTATTTGAGACATTTATACCTTGTTTTAGATGGTTTTAGATTGTTTGCGAGTGGTTGTAGATTTTTTTGAGGTGGTTGTAGATGGTTGTAGGTGGTTGTTGAATTTTTTGAGGTGGTTGTAGGTAGTTGTAGATTGTTGTAGGTGGTTTTAGGTCGTTCCATGTTTTAGTAACTACGTACCTCTGGCCCTTCCACGTGGTACGTCATCTTCTGTTGGGTCGCCTAGGAGAATCACCACCCTGGAAAACTGTGCTCCTACGCTTGTGTAAGGACGTGATCGGTTTCGGCCTCTTCCTCGTGACGCTCCTCCTCTTGCACTAAAGAGCGGCCCGATATTTCTTATCGATGGAGGAGTTTGTAAGGTAGATCCGGTAGCCGCCGTGGTAGTAACCGAGGGGGTTGACGGATTTCCTGAAGCTGTTGAAGGTGTCGAAGCCCTAAACAGCCGATCAACCTCCCTGCTGACGTTCGGTTGGTTTAAGAGATTCAACAGTGCACGTAATCCCTGTACTGCGTTCGGATCCATCTTCGACGCGAATGAGTCCTTGCGTTACAATCATGTGGGTTTTATACGTTTTCCTGGCTAGTAACAACAGTTCCCTTTGTTGTGTAATCAATAAGTGACAAGTTAACTATTCAGGGGATAATTGAAACGTTCCGCCTTTCATTTGCGGTAGTTTCCTCTATTGTTCCAAACATTTCTATCACCAAGAAAAACGATCGACCTACGTTTTCAAATGAAAAAAAAACAACAAAAGAAAAACTTGTGAGATGCAAACTTGACTTGTGACAAATGTGTTCGAAAGACAGTATGTTTATCTTTGAAGGATCTTTCATAAAGCGCAAAGTATCAATTGACAGCAAGCGGTCACGCATTAAAGCGGCATAAACAAAGGCGCTAGCACGCATAGAGTTAACTACACTCTTTTAAGAATATACTTTGCAAGAATATCGCGGCTGAAATGTGTGAAGTTTTAAGAATATTTTACAAATAAACCCAAGGCTGAGGTTTCGAAAAGGAAATAATTTACTGTGTGGAAATTTTTTTCTAGCCAACAAAACGTAAAAACCTGCCCGAAAATAGTTGACACCCAATTGCAGTCTTTATATCTAAAACGGAAATGTCATAAGATATAAAGTAAGAATAACGCAAGACTATTGTCAGCTTAAAATTGACAGAAAAACCAGAATATTCAGCCTGGGCCGGAAAAATAACATTCTTAAAAGGAGAAAAGAATGTGAAAACAATAACCTTGGTCCTCGTGCCTTTGCTTATACGCTTATACGCGTGGCCGAAAATCAAACTTCCAAAGTAAAAACATATGCACTCGTTAAGACCCGGTATATCTAATCGAACATTCGGTAACCCAACTCAACCACCCAACGAACATTTCCTGTAAAATACATGTTCGGATAGCCGCAAATAGTGTTCAGAACTTCCTATATAGCTTGATGACCAATCTATTCATGTACATTATTCGAAGCTTATCTAATAAATTCCCTACTATTTTCTAAAGTGTAATTGTTCTTAATTCCGTCCACGGGTTAAACTAATTTTCGTAGAAAAAGAAAACCTAACATTTTCAGACTCGGGAAATGCGATGGAGCGAGCATTAGAAAATGTCTTACGATCGTAACACCTTAAATTGCATCTTAACATTTCAGCAAAATGATACTGAAGCCCTTAGTTATACTTTCAAAATGACTCAAGTTGCCTTAGGATGACCGAACAGGTACAAATGTTATAGCGCCGCTTAGAGCGCATTTCTACCAGCGCTCCTCTTGGTAGCCTAGAAAGTGTGCATTTGGGAGGAAACCTTCCGTTGGTGTGTGCCCCATGGTAGCCTTACGATCAGAAAACAGGATTTTGCACGCTCGCGTACCAACTATGTCAATACGTATACAGCTAAATCAAAAAAGTTTGCTTTGGTAAGTTAAGCATTGGTAATTGGGCATTGAGCATTTCGGCATATGGAACAGTGCAATGATTTACTTCGGGTAACTGAATCCGCAATATTATACATCTTACAGTAAAAAAGTACATAATAAGTAAGGGAAGGTTTGTTCAGTTTTTTTTTTTAATTGGGGGGATTGGGGGTATTTTTCATCCTTTTTCTGGTAAACACGTGACCCTACCCCATTCCTGAGCTTCCACTGCATGTGTACTGGTTCACCACAATCGGCAACTACGACCCTTCTCTGACAGTGACAAGCTTCCTCATTCCTATTATCTATCACTATCAGCGTGAGCAACATCTATGGAAATTTTAACCCCGAGCTCAAATGAATAGAATGTTCAACTTCATTTGTACTTGATTGGAAGAAGCCAGGGAAAGTGGCTTTATGTAAGCACTTAACGACAACAGGTTCTTATCAGGCTAGGAGAAAGAGGCTCCTCTTCGTGAAAAAACATCTTCGTGTTCAAAAAGTAATGAAGAGGAAAGGATTGTAGGCTCTGAAACAACCGGTGATCGTCAACACCATCAAAAGAATTGAGCGATATAAGTCACAGCCCTGTGATTGCATACAGTGGTCACATCACTGAACGTCAAGTTATGGCCGAAAGAGAACACGGGTCGTCTAAGACATTTACGTGCCGTGCCAGAACAAGGTGATAAAACATGATAAAAGAAAGACAGAAAGGGTGAATGAATATGATGAATGAACTTTAACAAGACTGCTGTTTGAAAGGAATCTTGAGAGATTACAAGTTCCCGTTCGATAAGAAGGACTGGTACGAAGCTTTAAAATTCGAAAAAATGATTTCAATATGGTAACTGCATGAACACATGTACACAAACCACTATGAAAAAAAGTCTTCACTCTCCCTTAATACCGTTTTTAAATTATGGTTCGACCATCCCCAAAGGTCCATTTTTTTTTTTGGCTGACCCTCCCCTCTGAAGCCCAGTCCTCTCTCCCATTAAAAACGTACCTTCCCTAACTGGATACAGTAATCTAGATAAGGTTGGAGTTTGTAGCGCAAGAATAGGATATATTTGATTGCCCTCGACGGGAGCGCGACACCACAATGCGGTTGGATTTGTTGCCATAAAAAAAGAATCATAGTGAGACCGCGTCGACCTGCCTCTGCAAGGTGTACAGAATTAAAGTAAAACTCTTTGCGTTGTTTCTCTAGTTTTTACCCGACCCTCGCGACGTACCGGTACCATCACAAATTTTTAATTTTGTTATATATTGCAACATAAGAAGATTCATTAGCTTTTATGTTT